CTTGGTTGTCGCAGCATTCTGTAAAGTGGGTGTGGGGATCTGCTATGACATTAGGTTTGCGGAGCTTGCTCAGCTCTACAGCAGGAAAGGTGAGCAGCTGAAAATCAGGGAATTTAATCGTTGGATAGAGCAGCTAAAGAACATGTTATGCACTCAGGCTGTCAGCTGCTGGTTTACCCCGGAGCCTTCAACATGACGACGGGCCCCGCTCACTGGGAGCTGCTGCAGAGGGGAAGGTTAGACTTCCTGCTCATACACATGATGCATAGTGATTTTCTGCTTCTATTTGTTCTTATATGGCTCAATATTTCATTATTTAGTCAAAGTTCCTCGTTCATGTCTGTGTGTGTTGCAGGGCTGTTGATAACCAGGTATATGTGGCCACAGCATCACCTGCTAGAGATGAGGCTGCCTCCTACGTGGCCTGGGGTCACAGCACCGTCGTTAATCCTTGGTAAAATAAAAAAAACTAAAGAAAAATCAACTGAGATGTTAACTTGTAAAGAAAATAGAAAAATAGTCACCATTAGTTTGAATATTTAAACCGATCTGAGAGTGCTCAGGGTTTTTGTTTGTTTCAGGGGAGAGGTCGTTGCCAAGGCGGGGCCGGAGGAAACCATCATCTATGCTGATATCGGTGAGTGTTTGAGGTTTTCCTTCTGTCTGCAGCTGTGAAGGAGCTCTGGTAAAACTATGGAAAAGTTTGGAATTTGATATCAGGATTTTCCAGGGCTGAATAAGAATTGAGTTTAAAAACTAGAATATGGAAGATCATTTTTTCCCCCGTTTATGAGTTGCCTATTTCACTACATCTCCTTTTGTATTTCCTTCTAGCATACCCCTTTTCCGTGAACTTTACAGTTTTCTGGTGAACTGTAAAGTGCCTTGAGATGACGTGTTGTGAATTGGCGCTATAGAAATGAACTGAATTGAACTTTCTGTAATTCCAGATAAAAACCCTTAGGTTTGGTTGAACTGTTACCATGTTGATATTCTGTCTTTTCTCTCTGTGCATGTGCGGCCGGACCCGATTCCAGACCTGCAGTACCTGGCTGACATCCGGCAGCAGATCCCGATCACATCTCAGCGTCGGGACGACCTCTACGCTGTAACGTCGCTGCAGCAGTGATCAAGCTGATCTCTCCAAATGGGATAATTTTTCTCCAAATATCAATCAAACTAAATAGTCCTGATAATTTTCATCAAGGAATAGGATATTTAGTATGTAGTCCTTGGTGGAGTTAATGAGTGAGCGGTTCTGCGTTTTGCTGCAGCGCTAAAGGGAAGCTCTAGTTGGTTCCAGTTTAGGACTGATCTTCATATGAAGGAAGGAGGGCGTTCCAGATATTATAGGAGTTCATTGACTTCAGTCTGTTGCCCTCCATTATTTCTGCCATGTGTGAACCAATTTAATGTCAGATTGCTAAATTTTTAATTGGATGAGAAACTGAATGCTTTAATGTAACGAGTCAAATCCTTGTTTTTTTCACCACCCAGCTGTAGTTTTACATGTTGGAATTTTTGTTGTGGAATAACAATAAATCCAATTTTTCCTAAATTATGTTGAATAACACAAGAGAAATAAACGACAGAGATGCACTTTAACTGTTTGCTTCTGTGTAGTTAAGAAAACACCATTTATGTGTGATCGTTGCTCATGACACTAAATGAGAAAAAAAAAAAATTTAGAAAATAATTATTTTCTGCTTGTTTCATAAAAGAGGAAAAATAATTCTGTTCAAGTGAAACAATCACTTTCCTGTCATGATTGAGCTCAAAAAGAAAGATAAAGTCAGTTGAAATAATTTATAAACTTTATAAATGTCAGAAAATAATCCTGCAAATGTTTTTCCTTTTATACATTTTGTCATAGAACAAAGATTTATAATAGAACTTTATAAAGAAATGACTTAAAGCGTTATGTGAAAATAGCACCTTTTAAGAGAACAGATATTTAAAAGTGCTTTACAAGGAAAACAAATAAAGGCATACATACAAACAACTGTAGGAGATTCAAAAATAAAAAGAAAGCAAAAAAAAAAAATTTAGATCCTCTGAAATACATATAGGTGTGTTCAAACTATCAGCCATACAAAGCTAGCACCTGCTTTGAATAAAAAATATATTTCTACACACACTACTAATAGATGTAGTATAGTGCATTTCTAGCAGAGGAAAATGGATCCTTCCATGTGCCGTTTAGAAGAACAGCCTACTAAAAGTTGACAGATTAAAATAAAACCTGCAAGTAGACAGATTTTACCACCTCCCTGCAGCACCTCCATGACCCATGAGAGGAAAACATTAAAGGCCACTTAGAAAATGTAAACCTAGACTGGAAAGATGGTGGCCTAGAGGTTAGGGCATTGTGCTTTGGTCCAGGAGGTTCTGAGTTCAAGCCCCACTGCCACTGGCTACCTGAGCAAGACCCTTAACCCAACACTGCTCCCTGGGTGCTGCACAATGGCAGCCCACTGCTCCCCAAGGGGATGGGTTATAAAACGTGTGAATTTCTCCAGTGTGAGATCAATAAAGTTTGATGTGAAAAAGAAAAGCTGCTGTTCCAGTGGATGAAACGGTAATCAAAACAACAGTCTGATCACCTCCATTTGGTTGGAGAGGGTCTAGTGTTACCTATAAGCAGTGTTGTGTCTGAACGCGTTCATTGAACGAAAGTTCATGAACTCGTTCATATTTTGGGCGAACGTGAACTGAACGTACTGCATTACTGCCTGATGAACGTTATTGTGAACTCGTCGTAGCCTACAGCCGCGTGCGTCATCAAAACAAAATGCAGCGTGGAAGCCACAGCAGCATGGAGGCGACCGTGGATGCTACAAAGCAGCAGTATGATCACTTAAAACAGTTTTATGACTAGGTGGTCGGTGAGGATGATGGCAACAATCTTACATTTCTCTGCAAACTTTGCCCGCCGTCTTTCAGTAAAAAAATCCGCACTTCAGTAACATCCAAAGCAAATCTGAAACGGCATATGTACTGAAATGAAATTTCAAATGGAAAAAAATATTAAAATAAAAAAAACATTTGCTCCTTAAAGACTACTTTCCTGTTTTTCTTTTAATAATTCCTCATAAAAAAAGACCATTCAAGCAGCACATTTTTCCTGATGTTTTTGAGAATATACTGTAGGGGTGAAAGCTGCAGCTGCTACTAGTGTGAAGTGAATGGACAGCAACAAAGCATTAAAGCAACAATGGGGAAATGCTGTCCCCTCAATGCTAATGTAAACCCTGGTTGGATAAGGATTCAAAACTGGATATGAAGATGAAATCTGACGCACAGTTTCAGTGTTACAACTGATAAAATAATTGCTGTCTGTGGTTCTACAGTAGGCTATGGTGTAATTGAGCAATACATGAAAAAAAAAAGAACTATGAACTAGTTCATTTTTTGGAACTGTGAACTAAGTTCAAATTTTTGAATTATGAACTATGAACTGAACTAGTTCATTTTAAAATGTGTGAACTGAACTTTGAACTAGTTCACGTAGAAAGAGAACTTTCCCAACACTGCCTATAAGTAATGTAATGATTAAAGGCTTTCAGCAAGAAGCCACAATAAATCATGATTATTTAAAAAAAAAAACTGGAGATACAAGCTTGTTATTAAGTTTAATGCCAATCCCCAAACTGGATTCAGGCCACAGTGCACTTTGAAGCACGGTGGGGCAGGGATCATGATATGGGATTATCATGATAGGGGATTAATTTTCCTACTAATGCTCCAGGTCTATTTATCACATACCAACTATCCTGACCTGAGTGAATCACCCACCGTACTAAAGGGGTGTCAATAAAATGTGGCTCCTTTGTGCATCAAGTTTTTATATACACTCTTTTGCTTTAAAGATTTTAATAAAAGTTTCCAGAGTTCATCTAAAGTGTCTCTGTGCTCAGCTGTTTCCCAATGTGCAGGAAAACTAGGTGGCACAGACAAAAAATGAAATTGTTGACACCAGTTATGATGGGATTGGAGAAGGCATTGGGGGCAACTTCACTTATATGGGATCATGGATCAGTTCCAAACACTGAACTTTTTCATTTTACCTTAAACAGTAAATTCATGCTTTAAAGGTTTAGTGGAGGACGTTCTTTTTCCAGGTGGATCATCGAAATAAGTGGTTCTCTTAATTTTTTAATCATTCTGATGACATGTTTACGTAAGACCGTCCTACGTGTTCGACCCCTTACTTACCAGTGGTAAGGATGACATAGTGGAAAAATTGGAAATCTTTTGGAAAGTACACTTGTATGAGCAATGCAAACCGAAACTCTCACATGCGTTTAATCATGTGCTGGTTGTGCATTTTTTTGTTTTAAAGTGGAGAGGGCTGATCTTTTAAAAAATTTGCGAAAGTCCTACCCTATACCTTTGACAATAAAAGGACCAAAAAGGCACTCATACGTGAGAAGAAAGTTGTTTTCAGATTGCATTATAAATTGCCCATGAAATCTGAAGATTTAAACCTGGGGAAACAGAAACCTTACTGTTTCTGATTCAAAACCAAGAAAGAGGTTTTGTATCTAGTACATCCATCTGTTTACGGGTTTTAGTGACTCCATGCAACACAGATGTGAAGCAGTTCACAGAAACAGGTTAAACTAACAGTGTTAAAAGCAGTTTTGTTAAGAAAAATATTTTTAACAATCTATTATAAAGTTTTCTTCACTTCCTGCAATCAGACTTTTTTTTCTTTTTTTACATTTTGTAATCTCTCCATTAAGAGTAGAACATGCTGTGCTTTCATTATATTTGTGTGTATGGATTTTATAATGGTTTGGGGTTTTATTTGAAACAAAACTAAATATCAAGATCTGCAATAAAATTAAAATCCCTGAGTTGGGTTATAATGGGTTGACATCAAATCTCACACTTAAGAAAATAGTCCTTGCTATTTCACACTTTCATAAGGGGCAAAAAGAAAGAGTCAGGTAAATATCTAACAAATATGATGCGCTAAATAATTCAAAACAAATAAAACATCAGTGCTTCTTTGGACTTGCAGTAAAAATTGACGGTGGATCAGGTGGTTTTTTTTTGTCCCTTTGTCCTTTTGTCACACGTCAGTCTCCTTTGATTCCTCCATCATCACCTCGGCTGCCTGCTTGTACCGCTGTCGTCTTCCTGATGAAAACAGACATTCGTTCAGAAAACAAAACTTGTTTTGTCACAATTATTAAATAATACATTACTTCCTGCATCTTTGTAATTTACTCTTATAATAGTTTAATTTAATCTATTTAAAATACTGTCCCATACTTAATTATTTACAATCCTTTAGCTTTGGACTTTTTTGTCATGTGCCACGAACTTCAGTGAATTTTATTGGAACTTTTTGTGACAGAGAATCACAAAATAAGCCGGGTTTTGCCGCAGATTCTCACTTGGTTTTAGATCTAGGCTTAAACACACAGATATGCTTTGATCTGAACCATCCATTTCCTGATCATGCAGTATGGTTAAGATCTTTCTCCTGCTGAAAGGGGAACCTCCGCCCATCTCTTTCACAGCTTCTAAAAGGTTTTCTGCCAACATTGCCCTGGATTTCATTATATCTTTCAGTCATCTTGGACCCACTTCCCTGGTGATGTTAAAGAAAAGCCCCTCCAAAGCATGATACCCTCACTGCCATGTTTCAACATGTAAAAAGAAGCCAACTAATTGACTAGAGATCAGTCTTCTCATGTTTGCCATTTGTCCCTTATATGGAATGGAGATTACAATGAATCCTGTGTGTCTGTCCAACAGATGATCTCATCTGAAATATGGAAATCATCTCTGCGGCTCATCCTTGTGCCTCTTAGTTAATGGTGCATAGTCAAATTTGATGCAAATACCAAAAATCCCAAAATACAGTTATGATAAAAACAAGTCTATATAATCCAAGCGTCCATCTTTATTTGTTTTGAGCACCCTTGTTCAGCCTAAATAGAACCCCAGCACTGGTCGCATGAGTTGACATTAACAGACGAGCTACCATCTACCGCTAAACGACTAGAAAGCCAGATGGTGGCCATTGATGGAGCTATTAAGAAATCCTGATTGGGCTGTAATGTCTAGAAAAACCAACAGTTCAAATGATAATGCTTAAAAAGCATTTCCAACACTGTGAACTGTACCAGCAGGGACATGTACTCATGTATCTATCAGCTTTGCAGTGACACCAGAATGCTACTTGAGCTGTAGCTCCAGCTAAAGGCTGGTTTATACTCAGAAACCAGGTCGCCTGCGTGTGTCGCAGCTAACGCAGATATGTCACGACCCGTTCTGCAGACACCCTGGTGCACCTCTCCAAAATTGTAGGTGACTGCAGACAGTGCCGCAGGTTTGAGGCCTCTGATTGGTCAAATCTACATCCGTTCTACACTATGTGTATTTCCTGTTTGGTACCTTACCGGCTTGTTTTGTTTGTATGACCGCCATTGTGGAAAAACGACTCTTAAAGACGGACCAATTAGAAGAGTAAGGTGCACGAGAACACTGGGACCCTTTTTCCACCTGGATTCCCGCTCTTAAAAAGACGTTCAACCAAAAATATATAGCAGGAACTCCTGTTCCAGAATTTTACACCATGGTTTTCCCTTCAAAACAATCTAGTCTGCTATAAAAAATAAAATAAAATAAAAATGAGCAGTCTTGGCTTTACACATGACGGTTCCCTGTCTGTTCTCTCTGACAGGGTGTGACCTGCTCACCTCTATGTGGTTTCTCAAATTCCTTCTTCCTCCTCTTACTAATCTTGTCCAGGTTAATCTGATAACACAACCCGGCTATCACCATGAGGGCGACCACCACGCACAGGACGGTGCTGAAGATCCACATGCCCTCTGACGCCCGCCTCACCTTGGGGGTCTCTCCGTCTGCGAACCAAACAGAAGCAGAAATGATTGATGTGAAGCAGTGCTTCCGGATCGGACCGAGCTCCGCTCAAGGACTCACATTTGGATGTCAGCGTTTCATTCATGGACTGATTCTCAATGGTGCATGAGACGGTGGCAGGGCTGGAGAAGTTGAGGGTCAGGTGGCTTGTTAGGTTGTACAGATGGGAGTCAATCAACGCCTGGGTTTCCACTGAGCCATTGGGGGGCTCCTGGCTGTCATTGATGATCCAGTGAACTAGAGGCTGGGGGTAGCCCCCTGAGGAGTGACACAGGTAGGTGGTCGAATTTTCTTCTGAAGGCACCTTCATCACTTCGGGGGGGCTGAAACTTGCTGAAAAAACAGCCAAAAAACACAAAATATGAGGCCATGTCTTTGTAATGATTTACTGTCACAAACTCTTTTGTGTTTTAAGATTCTGCACTATCACCTGTGCTGCACTGGACTGACTGAGTTTCCCAAGTGTCTGATCCAGGCATAGGACCGAGACCTGCTGGAGTGAAGCCGCTAGACGGACCAAAGCCCATCACTGTCCCCACCCATGGGACAGCAACAAGTAAAGGATCTTTTATCATTTTAGTAGGTATCTTGCCTGGCCGAATAGAATCAGTAGTTAGATGCTGATTTGTTTATTAAAAAGGTGCTCCTGAAATATATATATATATATTTAAGCTCATTTAAAGTGTGAGTTTTTGATTTTACAGCCATTGTTCCAGTCTTCTGACTGTCTTGTGCATTTCAGGAAAGGATGGTTGGATAATAATCTAGTATAGTGATATAGTCACCATGGAGGCCACTTCTCAAAACTAAACATTTATTTTAAAAAGAGGAATTTGCACCACTGAGGGATAGTCCAGTAGGTTTTCTGCACAGTCTATGTAAGATCCTGATGGTGTTTCTGCCTCTGGAGCCATTTAACAAAAGGAACAGAACAGTTTGAAGTATTAAATCCTGGATGTGTATAATAAGTGTTTGTAGAAGCAAGCCATGCGAATTATTATTTTTCCACCACCCATTTTCCTTCCACTCCAGTTTTCACTAATCTGCTTCAACACCACATCCTGTGAATAGCCTGCTTCTTTGGTGATTTGCTTCAATGGCTTACCCTCCTTTTTGGACAATAGCAGTTGGTTTGACAAATGTCGAGGCAGCTGCTTCAGGGGCCATTTGAGGGTGTAAATTCAATTTAATTCAGTTTATTTATGTAGCGCCAATTCAAAACACATGTCATCTAAAGGCCCTTTATAGAGACAATTCAACCAGATCGTACAGTCAAATTGATTCAAAGTTTTCTAACTAAAAATCAGCTGATTGAATCGACTCATTGACTCTTCAGCAATCCCTCACACTAAGCGTGCTTGTAGCGACAGTGGAGAGGAAAAACTCCCTTTTAACAGGAAGAAACCTCCAGCAGAACCAGGCTCAGTGTGAGCAGCCATCTGCCGAGGCCGACTGGGGTTCAAGGAGACAGAAGTAGACGAGGCTGATTGATTCAATGTGGCCCCCAATTTTATACTTTTTACTTTCATTCAGGTCAAATATATAACAGAAAAGTTGACATTTTCTTACTATTGAACATTTTTTGGTACAAAACAGTATTAATCTTTTAATTATCTGACTTTTTACTCTTTAAGGTTTTAGTAATTTAGAACAATAATTTTGATTCAAATCCTGGATGGTGCATCAAAATCTGCTTTTATTTTATTAATTAAAATGGACTTAATACTGCAAACATTTTCTAACGCAAGACTAACTTAAATTCTGTTCTTACTGACAATTTATTTTTGATATTTTTTCAATTTATTTTTTTAAATCTAGCCCAAATTGTTTTGCAAGCTATATAATCATGGAAATCTCTTTTTTTGTTTTTTATTTACCCTGCCGTACAATTTTGAATCCTCTCACTGTAAAAATAGATCTAAAGATGAGTTAATTTTCATAAAATAAGTGTATACCGAAATATGATCATATGATCAACATTCTAATTCCAATAGCAGAACATTCACTTACCTTTTCAAATCAAGTGCAAATAAACTAATTTCACTAAATTTGTACCTACTTTTAGTTTACCAAATGCAGTGTTCTCCTACAGATAATCAGACTAATTTGTTAAAATATTACATATTAATCAATTGTGAAGGGGGTGAAGAAAAACACAGCATTACATAAAATCAGATTCTTTTTTTTATACTTTTTGGCTCTCAAGTACTTTCAATTTGACCATTTTCAATGCAAATTCCAAAAAGTTTGCACAACGCCGCTCCTGTAGACCAAATAATTTAGTGTCATCAAGCAAATTACACTTGGATATCTCACAACTGTATCATAAGAAACACAGAAGACAACCAGTTGTGCGCACATCTCTTAAATGTTCTCTAGAATAGAGACTGATTAAAAATCATATGTTGCAGAAAGAATGGGCATAGCAAACAGAAAATACCTCAATACCTCATAACCTCATTGTTTCAAGGTAACAGTGCCAACCATGGGCGGTTCTAGACAGGGGCCAACAGGGCCCAGTGCCCTTGTAGATCATGTACTAGCCCCTGTACTGAAGACATAATACAAAAATAAATTCTATACTATTCTACTGATGGTAGACATGGTTAATGATAGGTCCTTTGGATCTATTTCATTTTTTTTTTTATCAACAAAAAATTTTATATCTACTAATTATTTAAAAACAATAAGGTGATAGCTTCAATGGTATTGAGACAGTGTCAGGGTTTGGTTGTGGTTTGGAGGACCCAAATGCAGAGGCAGAGGAGATTTCTGGGAGTTTTAATGGGGCAAAACAGTAAACAAAGGCAGGAATCCAAAAATCCAACTAATAATCACAAGCAAACCAGAACAATGGAGACATCTGGGGAAAACCAAACACGAGGAGCCAGGGAGAGACGAGGAACGTGGACAACAGCATGGGAGGACAGCAAGACAAGGAACCAACCAAGAGTGAGAGCAGAGGGAGAGCATACAGGTGCTGGTCATAAAATTAGAATATCATGAAAAAGTAGATTGATTTCAGTAATTCCATTTAAAAAGTGAAACTTGTATATTATATTCATACATTACATACAAACTCATATATTTCAGATGTTTATTTTGTTTAATTTTGATGATTACAAATGACAACAAATGAAAATCTCAAATTCATCATATCAGAAAATTAGAATATTACTGAAGACCAATAAAAACAAAGGATTTATAGAAATGTTGGCCAACTGAAAAGTATGAACATGAAAAGTATGAGCATGTACAGCACTCAGTATTTAGTTGGGCCTCCTTTGGCCTGTATTACTGCAGCAATGCGGCGTGGCATGGAGTCGATCAGTCTGTGGCACTGCTCAGGTGTTATGATAGCCCAGGTTGCTCTAATAGTGGCTTTTAGCTCTTCTGAATTGTTGGGTCTGGTGTATTGCATCTTCTTCTTCACAATACCCCATAGATTTTCTATGGGGTTAAGGTCAGGAGAGTTTGCTGGCCAATTAAGAACAGGGATACCATGGTCCTTCAACCAGGTACTGGTAGCTTTGGCACTGTGTGCAGGTGCCAAGTCCTGTTGGAAAATGAAATCTGCATCTCCAAAAAGTTGGTCAGCTGCAGGAAGCATGAAGTGCTCTAAAACTTCCTGGTATGTGGCTGCGTTGACCCTGGACCTCAGAAAACACAATGGACCAACACCAGCAGATGACATGGCACCCCAAACCATCACTGACTGTGGAAACTTTACACTGGACTTCAAGCAACGTGGATGAAGTGCCTCTCTTCTTTTCCTCCAGACTCTGGGACCTTGATTTCCAAAGGAAATGCAAAATTTACTTTCATCAGAGAACATGACTTTGGACCACTCACCAGCAGTCCAGTCCTGTTTCTCTTTAGCCCAGGCAAGACGCTTCTGACGCCGTCTGTGGTTCAAGAGTGGCTTGACACAAGGAATGCGACAGCAGAAACCCATGTCTTTCATACGTCTGTGTGTGGTGGTTCTTGAAGCACTCACTCCAGCTGCAGTCCACTCTTTGTGAATCTCCCCCACATTTTTGAATGGGTTTTGTTTCACAATCCTCTCCAGGGTGCGGTTATCTCTCTTGCTTGTACACTTTTTTCGACCACATCTTTTCCTTCCCTTCGCCTCTCTATTAATGTGCTTGGACACTGAGCTCTGTGAACAGCCAGCCTCTTTAGCGATGACCTTTTGTGTCTTGCCCTCCTTGTGCAAGGTGTCGATGGTCGTCTTTTGGACAACTGTCAAGTCAGCAGTCTTCCCCATGATTGTGTAGCCTATAGAACTAGACTGAAAGACCATTTAAAGGCTTTTGCAGGTGGTTTGAGTTAATTAGCTGATTAGAGTGTGGCACCAGGGGCCATCAATTTTGAACCTTTTCACAATATTCTAATTTTCTGATATGATGAATTTCAGATTTTCATTTGTTGTCATTTGTAATCATCAAAATTAAACAAAATAAACATCTGAAATATATGAGTTTGTATGTAATGTATGAATATAATATACAAGTTTCACTTTTTAAATGGAATTACTGAAATCAATCTACTTTTTCATGATATTCTAATTTTATGACCAGCACCTGTATATAGGAGAGAGAGACAAAGGGAGGGCTAACGAGCAGACAAGGAACAGGTGTGAGAGGAGACAACGAGGGAGCCAAGGGGAAAGGAACACACACACACACACAAGAGGGCAAAAGAGGACAACAGAAAAACATGAGAACTAATAAATCTAGAAATACAACAAAACTGGAATTAGGCCAATAAATCTAGAAAACAAGGAGCAAAGAAAAGAACAGCAGAACCAAGACCATGACAGACAGAATCCTTGTTTACATCATCTAAATGTTTTTTTCAAAACAAATTAAAAAGAAAACACTGAATTGATCAGTTTTTCTTAAGTTCTAATTCAGATTTAATAGAAAACTGTCATTTTAACTTAAATTAAGTCAAAAATATGTAAAATTCCCAGACATAGAATTTTAATTAAACCTAATCAAATAGAAATTTCACTTCATGCAGCTATCTATCTTTCTGGGCCCCCATGGAAACATGCGGGCCCCCTCCTTGTCCCCTACATTTTTGTCTAGAACCACCATGGTGCCAACTGTATACTATAAATAATCTCTTAATCTGCAATGAACTAACCTGCAATCCTTAGGGACACGGTACACAGCGGCTCAGTCTGATTCTCCCCTGCAAACAAGAAAAGGCTCTATTTGCTCCTGTCCAGTTTGGGATGAGCAGATGGCAGCGTGAGAGAAAGGTCTCCAGTGGAAAGTACATCAGTGGAAATGCTGACATGATTCAAGCTCCATGTCTCCACGTCCCCATCCTCTTTCCACAGTGATCTGAGCACAGCTTCATCGTTTCTTCTCCACTCGATAGAGAAGTTGAGAAATGAGCTTAGGTCTGGGTAAAGGCAGGGCAGTAACACCGGGTTCCCCACTATACCGAGGACACACTCTTCCTCTGTATGCAAAGAGAAACACAAGTTAGTCCAGATTATTTTTTTTTATGTTGTATGTGTTGTTTTTTTATTTTTATTTTTTATTATCTATCTTTTTTTTCGATGGGAACTGCATTGAACTTACCCACAGCGGCGCACAAACAGGCGCAGCAGAGCAGCAGTGCCGCGCCGCGCCACAGCGCCACCGACATTTGCGCGTTCATTGGCGCAAGAGAGCGCAAACAACACCCCTAAACGGCTCTTTCATGTAGGATTCCTTAGTTTTGACAAACCGAAACTCGTCCATTCTCCTCACAGTTATCTCCTCACAGCGCAGGTCGGTTCGGCCTCACTTCCTCGTCCAGCGCCGCGCCATGTGCGCACCTTTCCACTTGATCAGTCATGCTGGGACTTGTTGTGACATATCCTACCTGGTCTCCTGGTTTAAGTCACCTCAGATAGAAACAAACTAAAACAAACTGCGGATAGAAGTTAATGGAAGAACAGAGCAGGACATCAGGCGCAGAAAAGTCTCCGATGAGGAACAATTGAATCTGTGGAGGTTGGTTTAACCTGTTAGACTGCTTTTTGGCCACACACCCACCCACCTGTTGATCGGAAGCATGAGATCAACAAGCACCGAGGCAAGAATCAGAAATAATAAAGTGAAAGAGGGGTAAGAGCTGTGGCGCCACCAGAGGGGGGCCAAAGGGGGCCATAACCACATCAGTGAATCTGCAGGTGTTACAACAAAACCTGTGACCCCTTAAAATTGTGACCCAAAGGGGCGCCACGTGTATTCCACCATAAACTTCTCTAGGTTTAGATATTAACTTTGTTACATTAGGTTTAGGTATAAATCAGGGCTGAAACAATTAAGCAGATTGATTGTGATTTATCGGTTATCGGGGCTGCTAAGTGCTGCAGTCGATAGCACTGCTGCCTTGCAGCTTTAAGGTTTCAGGTTCGATTTCCGGCTCGGCGTCTTTCTGCACAGAGTTTGCATGTTATCCCGGGTACTCCGGCTTCCTCCCACAGTTCGAAAACATGACTATTAGGTTAATTGGCTTCTTTAAATGGGTGTGAGTGTGTGTGAATGTTTGTCCTGTTTGTCTCTGTGGTTCACTGCGATGGACTGGCAACCTGTCCAAGGTGTACCCCGCTTCTTGCCCATAGACAGCTGGAGACCCAGCTTGGGATAAGAGTGACAGAAAATGGATGGGTGTAGAATTGGTTATTAAATAATCATTAACTAATTTAGTTATCGATTAATCGTTAACACGAGTGTTGGGATTCTAAAACATGCTTTTAGCTGTCAGAGCAACCCTTCTTGAGGAGTAATTATAACAAAATTCTAAAAAAAAAAATTAGCATTTAAGATAAAAATCTTTTTCATCTGTCAATTTGCTCTATCCAGCCTCGTCAAGAAGAAAAGTTTTAGTCTCACTAGGTTTAAATCCGAAAAAAGTTTTACCCTTCACCATCTGATTATTAATCAATTAATCGAAAAAATAACCGAAAACAATTTGCAAATAATCCTTAGTTGCAGCCCTAGTATAAATTCTGTGAAGTTAAGTTTAGTAGATAACAGACAAGTGAGTCACAATACACAGCAGGTCACAGATTTTTGTATAACACCAGTTCCCTCAGTATACCCCATTATACAAATGATCTTATATAGATAATATTTAATGCCTGAAATAAAGTAAAAGGACACTGCTCTAAATAAGTGTCAGCAAGGGAGTAAATTGCAGGGGGGGTTAGGGTGCCATAACCTCTCAAAACTCTGATCCAGTCAAAGAGTGTGTTTACATTAGCTTTCTCTAATGTGCATTTTCAAGTTTTGCATCAAAAAAGCCAGAATTAAAAAAAATGCTTGTTTTTAGGTGGTTTTTGACTTTTGAAAATTTACCTCACATGACCGATGAGCTGTTTCTACTGTTGGTTTCTTATGCATATCAACATGGATGGAAGCAACATTGCAATTACTAGCTGGCATAACAAACTTGTGCAAATATATATATATATATATATATATATATATATATATATATATATATATATATATATATATATATATATATATATATATATATATATATATATATATATATATATATATATATATTCTATTCCGTTAGCTATTCTATCTATTGTAGGTAACTTAACTGAATAAATAAATAATAATAATAATAAAGATAATAATTTAAAAGCTTCAGGCAAAGACTAACAATGTATAGTTTACCTGAACCTAACATGACATTTGGATGTCAAGCTAATGAGCATTAAGGTGTAAATAATCCTTTACTGGAAGTACTGGTTTTATTAGTCTTAGGATTATAAAATGGTTTGTAAAAGTTTTTCTTCTGCCAGGAATATTTTTTTTACTATATTACTTGTTTGTTTTGACTATTCTTATGGTAAATTTACATTTTGGTACTTGAGTAATTTCTTGAATGGCTACTATTTCTCTTAATTAACTAAAATGTTAATAAAGCAGTGATTCTTCTATTTAAATACCATGTCTGGGTACTCTACTAACCTCTGAAAATGAACATCAGCTGCCAATGGGCAGAAGTTGACCCTCTAAGACACAACCTCTTTCTATATTTGCATAATGAGGCAGAAATGCATACAGAAATGTAAAAACCAAAGGTAGAAATAAATAGCGTTGAATAAATGAATATTATCACATGCACATAAATAAATACTTAAAAAGTAATAAATAAATAAAGTTGAAGATTATAACGGACAATAACTAAATAAGTTAATTAATACAAAGGCGAATAAATAAAGAAGCTAATTAAAAGAGATATATACATTTATGTCTCACTGTATAATTTAATTATTTATTTTATTTTTGTGGTAATTAATTGTATGCTTATTTATTTATTGAACATTTATTTATTACTGTATTTATTTTTAAATATGGCAGAGTCTATCATCCATACTACCCAGATAGTACTACTAAATGCGCCGCCGCGGCAGTAGGGGGCAGTGTAGCCTTTGTGCTTTGAACTCTTAGAGAGAGGAAGCGCAGCTTCAAATCAGTCCATGGTGACCTGCTGCTCTGCAGCTTCTCTTGTCGCGTCACGCGTCTCTGAGATAACTTAGCGAGGCATAATGAAGACACTGAGGTTTATTTATTCTCAGCTGCCTCTCGGTCGCAGCTCAGCGGCTGCCTGCGGTTTTCTCCCCAGGTTTCCTTGCAGAGGAGCCGCTCCCACGCTGCTGGCCAGCAGGACCCTGGCGCTCTCTGCTTCCAGCCTGAAGAACAGAAATGACTCCAGTTCACATACAGAAGGAGAGGAAGGAGAAGGAGAGCTGGAGGACAGCGAGGTGGAGGAGCTTTTCCAGCAGCAGGTCCCTGCAGGGCTCGGACAGGGACAGCAGAGGGTGTTCATCGTCCACCCCGATGTGAAATGGGGGAGCAGGAAGCAGTACCTGACCACCGGTAAAGAGTCCAGCATCCACAGATGAGACAGGTGGTCCTCAGGGGGGGGTCTTTATGGTGTGTGCATTTACAGCTGAGCTGATGATGGCTGAGGCCGAGGGGCTCGTGAAGACTTTGGACAACTGGACGGTGGTGGACACCATCATCCTCTCCACCAAGACCCCAGAGAAGAAGAAGATATTTGGGAAGGGCAACTTCCAGTTCCTTACAGGTACCTACAGACTTCCGGTTTCTTGAAGCAGCAGGAAGGTGGGTTTCTATCTGAATGATCTGTTTTCTGTCCAGAGAGAATCAAGCAAACTGTGGGCATCACAGCAGTCTTTGTCAATGTGGACCGCCTGTCCCCTCTGTCTGAGGTCAGACTAAGTAGCACTGAACCTGCTGAGGGATCGGCTTTCCTTTACTGATGCCCTATTTATTTCTCTAAATCCAACCCCAGAGGGAGTTCGAGGAAGCCTGGGGGGTGAAGGTCTTTGACAGGTACTCTGTTGTGCTCCACATTTTCCGCTGCAACGCCAGAACCAAAGAGGCCAAGTTACAGATCTCCCTGGCAGAGATCCCTTTATTAAGGTGATCACACATGGTCATGTCTGCATCAGAGTTCCTATAATCAATGAGACAGCTGCTGCTGGTCAGTCAGTCAGTTCAGTTCAATTCAGTTTATTTATATAGCACCAATTCACAACACGTCATCTCAAGGCATACATACATACAGTTCACCAGATCATACAGTCAAACTGATTAAAAGTTTTCTATCTAAGGAAAACCAGTCGATTGCATCGACTCATTGACTCTAATGCAATCCCTCACACTAAGCATGCTTGTAGCGACAGTGGAAAGGAAAAACTCTCTTTTAACAGGAAGAAACCTCCAGCAGAACCAGGCTCAGTGTGAGCGGCCATCTGCTGAGGCCGACTGGAGTTCAAGGAGACAGAAGCAGAGATGCAAAAAGCAGCTGTAAAAGGCGGCCCCGTCCAGGAAACACACAGCCAGGCAGAGGAGCTCCGAGCCAGCTCCCATGTCAAAGGATGAAGAGAGCACATCAGCCAGTTACAGTCAGAGAAACAGGACTACACTGAAAAACAGGCTGATCTCCAACATCTATAAACAAGGGTGTTGATGGAAGCAGCACAGCTGATGTTTCTTTCCAGGATGGAGTCACAGCCAAACAGGAACAGACGAGGCAAAGCTACTCTGAGGAAAAGCAGAGAGAGCAGAACGTTAGAGATTGAACTAACAGATTCTGCAGAGTGAGAGAATAGAGATAGAATGATGAAATAGGGGTCCCTATGTCCTTCAGAAGTCTAAGCCTATAGCAGCATAACTATAGAGATAGCTCAGGATAACCTGAGCCACTCTAACTATAAGCTTTATCAAAGAGGAAAGTCTTAAGCCTAGCCTTAAAAGTAGACAGGGTGTCTGCCTCACGGACTAAAACTGGTAGTTGGTTCCACAAGAGAGGAGCCTGATAACTAAAAGATCTGCCTCCCATTCTACTTTTAGAAATTCTAGGAACCACTAGTAAACCTGCAGATTGAGAGCGAAGTGCTCTGTTAGGAACATAAGGAACAATCAGATCTCTGATATCAGATGGAGCTTGGCCATTTAAGGCTTTATATGTGAGAAGGAGGATTTTAAACTCTATTCCTCACTAAGACTTGAGACTTACGTGTAGATCATAGGAGATACTTCAAAATACTGTTTGTGTATGAAAATACACATTAAAGACGTACTATCATGTTATGAATCTTCAAGAAAATTTAGGTCTTCCCGTTCCAGTCTACTTTTGTATTCCCAGTAGGAGTGGGCATCCATCCATATATTTTCTGATACGCTTAATCCCAAGTGGGGTTGCGAGGGGTGCTGGTGCCTATCTCCAGCTGTCTACGGGTGAGAGGCGGGGTACACCCTGGACAGGTCGCCAGACAGAGACAAACAGAACAAACAACCAATCACATACACACTCACACCTATTTAGAGAAGATAATTAACCTAACAGTCATGTTTTTGGACTGTGGGAGGAAGCCGGAGTACCTGAGAGAACTCATGCATGCTCAGGGAGAAGATGGAAACTCCATGCAGAAAGACCCCGGGGCAGGAAGTCAGTTGGCTGCCAATGTGCAGCGCCCAGGGAGCAATCAGTGGTTAAGGGTCTTGCTCAGGAACCCAGAGTGGAGGCATTGGGGATTGCACCTTCTCAAAGCACAAGTGCACTGCTCTAAGCCACTATGCCAACACTCCCCCAATTAATTGCATTTGCAATATAATTGCAATTTAACAAATTTCAAATTATAGAGACGCTGATTTTTATTCACACTATATTTAACGTGAGAAAGATGGTACATTTCTCCCTTCCACCCTTTTGGTGGTGGTAAAACGCTTGAAGTTGGTTTGTCTCCACACAAGGAGAGATAATTGTAGCCGGCACGCAGAAACGTGCATGCAAGTAGAAGTAAACACTTTTTCACACAATGGTTACAGTAAAGTCCTGTAACAATGTGCTCTGGGCGAGCAAGCTTTCTAAAACTGAAAGCCTGGGGTGATTAGTTTGATTAGATTTGGTTAAAAATAATCTCAATTGAATTTTTTTGGCAATATTGTTCAGCCATTATGACCAGAACCAAACTTAGAGAATCAGTTTTCACATTTTATGCACCTTTAATCTGGAACCAACTCCCAGAAAAATGCAACACAATCAAAGCACTAAATTAGTTTAAATAAAGACTGAAGACCCACCTGTTTAGAGCTGCCTTGGGTTAGCAGCCCACAAAGAAATCCTAGTATAAAGCTGCTCTGATTTAATTACGCATTGACCTTCTCCCTACGGTTATCATGTGGATCTGGTTGATGTTTTTTTTTTTTATGGTTTTCTGTGATAATTCAGATTTTTCCAGGATTTGATCTCTACTTGACTGATATTTTTAATGATTTTACTGCACTTTTGTTCTGATATTTTTATTATGTAAAGCACTTTTAATTAATGTGCTATACAGGTAAATGTTTCCTTTTTTAACTTACTATAGTTATGGCAAAAGAAAAACTATTTTACCCATCCATTCATTTTAGTTTCTTCAGTTTGAAGGTTGTATAGCTTTAGAACTGCAGAAATATCTGACAGGGAATCATGATCAGTTTTCTATTTATACATTCAAAATGTGTGATGAAATTGTGGGAATTTAAATCTGGGATATTTGGCCAATTATTGCATTTATGTATGGTTTTTAATGCATTTTCATAATAAATGTTATTGTAAACTCCAGTTTGTGTTTCACCTGCAGATCTCGTCTAAAAAATGAAATGGCAGATTTGGATCAGCAAGGTGGAGGATCAAGGTACATCGGAGGATCAGGTGAAGCAGCGGACAGCCTGCATGCCGGTCAATAAGCTGCTGCTCTGTGCTGAAGACCAGATTCACCCTCCTGGTTGGTTCTTCCAGGGGAGACGCTGTACGAGGTCCAGCAGAGGCTGCTGAAGGAACGGGAGGGGAAGATTCGCTCTGCACTGGAAAAACTCCGTAGAAAGAGGCATCTCCTGCGGTCTCAGCGAAAACACAGGGAGTTCCCCATCGTGTCTGTGCTCGGATACACCAACTGTGGTCAGAGGCTGGAAGCGGTTTTCATTATGCTTCGTTTAGATCATTCTGATCCATCTTTTAACACTTTTTTTAATTACATCTGTTCAGGGAAAACCACTCTGATCAAAGCTCTGACCGGCGACAGCAGCCTGCAGCCCAGGAACCAGCTCTTTGCAACCCTGGATGTGACCGTCCACGCCGGCCAGCTGCCCAGTCACATGACCGTGCTGTATGTGGACACCATCGGCTTCTTGTCCCAACTTCCACACCAGCTCATCGACTCCTTCTCCGCCACCCTGGAAGATATCACACACTCGGTATGGAGTCTAGTTTTCCTCTTTTTATGCACACACCTGGACAAGGTGCTTTTCATGGTGCACATGTTTAGACATCATCAGGAGAATCAGAATCAAATTGAATTCAGAAATTTGAATTGATTCGCAGCGCCAGGCGTTATATATCATCTCCCTGCATTTACAGAAATAATAATATAACACAATAACAATATTAAGAGGGGAAGCAACGGTTACTCCTTCTGCTGCAAACACAGTATAAATCAACCATTTTACATAAAAATCTGACATTGATGTATATTTTATTTTGCCAAAAAGCAGAAATGGGAATAAACATCTATTTGTTGTCAATTTTTCCTCTTCAATTTAGATTCTCTCGGTAAAGCTTGAAAAGATTCAGCCTAGGCAACTAAATGTGAAGTTTTCTGGAAGACATTTCGCCTCCAAACAAAGAGGCCTCTTCAGTTCTAAGTAGTATTGGGGATCACTGAGTTTAATATACTGTAGGTCTAACAAAGAATTAGGGGAAAAAGCATAAGGTGGCTTTGATCCCTCCTACTGGATTGGCCATGGAGGTCACCTGGGAGGTGTTAGTGGTTGTTAGGAAGTTCTGGTGCATCCTTGAACTCCCTTGTCAGAGTGGTTTCGGTCACATGCCTCATTGAAGTCTGGTTCTGCTGGAGGTTTCTTCCTGTTAAAAGGGAGTTTTTCCTGTCCACTGTCGCTACAAACACGCTTGGTGTGAGGGATATCTATCAATCCATATAAATACCAGGGTAAACACCCTGTGCAATAACCCAGTATAATGATCCTAACTATTAATAATAAAGAAAAAAGGGAAAAAGCTGTCATATGTGGACACACTGTACAGTGGGGGAAATAAGTATTTGACCCCTTGCTGATTTTGCAGGTTTGCCCACTTACAAAGAATGCAACGATCTACAATTTTAATCATATGTACATCCTAACAGTGAGAGACAGAATCCCAAAGAAAATTCCCGAAATTCACATCATATGAATTTATGAAAAATTGATGACCATCTGATGAGGAAAAACAAGTATTTGACCCCCTACCAAACAGCATGTTATTATTTTGTAGAAAAGCCATTATTGGCCAGCACAGATTAAAACGGTTTTTATAGTTGGTGACAAGGTTTGTGCACATTTCAGCAGGGATGTTGGCCCACTCCTCCTTTAGACAGCCTCCAAATCATTCAGGTTCCGAGGTTGTAGCCTGGCAACTCAAATTTTAAGCTCCCTCCAAAGATTTTCAATTGGATTCAGGTCTGGAGACTGGCTAGGCCACTCCAGAACCTTGATGTGCTTCTTCTTCAGCAAATCTTTTGTTGCTTTGGCGGTGTGCTTCGGGTCGTTGTCGTGCTGAAACACCCATCCTTGACCCATCTTCAGCTCTCTCACTGAGGAAAGGAGATGTTGGTCCAGAGTTCCACGATACATGGCCCCATCCATCCTCCCCTCAATACGATGGAGTTGTCTCGTCCTCTTGGCTGAAAAGCATGATGTTTGCCACAACCAATCTTGACGGTGGGGATGGTGTACTTTGGGTTGTACTCGGTGTTCTATTTATCTGTTTACTACAGTCTGTTGAATTCATGTTAATGTGGATTTAAAGACATTTCAATTAGTAGAAAAAAACTAGAGAAGGGAATATAAAAAAAAAGAAGTCTAATCAACCAAAAATTTTGCGACACCCGTGCAGTACCTCCGTGGACCCCTAGGGGTCGCGGACCCCTGTTGAAGACCCCTGCTTTAAAGCCTTGACCATAAAATAATTGACAGAAGATTAAAAAAAAAAAAATAGAATTTTCAATTAACTTTCTGACAAATGAAATAAAAAACATACATATACATAGCATTACATATATTATAACATTTATTTAAATCAATTTTGATCCATTAAGCATTTCCGCATAGTCTTTTACACATTTTCTGTTCACTACATGAGTCTGATTGTGTAAGTTAGGGTTTTCAAGAACTAAAATATCATGCTGATGATACAGAAGTCTCAACAACTCATGTATGAAATATGATACAGTTGGTTTTAAAGGGTTAAGAAATGGTGTGTGAGCCTCACAAGCTATCATCTATCAGGAGAACAGATAGATGATAGATTTTTTAGCTTTAATCTTCATCGCAGACATTTATGAAGAATTTCTCTGCTACAGAATTGCAAACTAAATGATTTAACTGGGGATACTTTGTGTGTTTTTAAGGTGTTTTTCAGACCCTGTTTGTTTCTGTGTTTCCCAGGATCTGCTGGTGCATGTCAGAGACATTAGTCATCCAGAGACGGTGAATCAGAAGGCGAACGTACTGAATGTCCTGAAGAACCTGGAAATCCCACACAGGCTGCTGGGCTCTATGATCGAGGTTCACAACAAAATTGACCTACTTGACAAGTAAGAATAAAGGCTTCCTTCCTGTTGGTCTTAGTAACATGCTGGAGGTGAAGAGTTGACTTCATGAATTTAAATGCGACGTCTGGAAGTTTGACCTGAGGGTTTGTTTATTTAACCAGCCAGCCTGCTGTCCTCACAAATGTTCTTTTTCTCCCTTATCTATTGTTGAAAGATTGGGGAACAAAGAACTTAATTATGGCTAACAAACACAGAGAGGAGGTTAACATGAAAGGTAGCCTGGGGGGCTTCTAATGCTGCCCCCTCCCCCCACCCCCAACCACCTCCACAATTATAACAGCTTCTGTAAAAAGAAATACACTTTTTTTTTCTTCTTTATTTTGTAGTTTATAAACAGAGACTAACATTCTCTGATTTTTATTTTCACAAAATATAATTCCAAGCAGCATTTTTATGGAATTATTTTTTTATGATGTCTGTTACCAGTGTAGGAATGATGTCCAATATCAGGTAGTTAATATAATAAGAGGTAGTTGATAAGACTCTTAGGGGAATTATTCTCTGGATCAGGTATGATGGAGGCGGACACACATCTAAATCATGCAGGAGTCAAAACTTTAGGGTCTGAATTGACCATTTTCACTTATGTCTATCTGGTGGTCCTAAAGTTTAAAAGGAAAAAATTAAAAAATGGAAATTTATCTCTTCTCTATTCAGTGTTATTCAGCGCTTGTTTGGCCACACTGCAAATATTTGTTCTTAATACACAGAGGATTAATTTCAACTTAAAGGGCTGGTTATTCCATGCCACAATGCAAGAGAGACAATCGCCAACTAGCTGTGGGTCTAGATACGGCCGAGGCGGTGAGGAAGTGGGGGCAAGTTTGTGCGACAACGGAGGGACATGAGGGTAAAAAAGAGCGGGGATCCAGGTGGAAAAAGGGTCCCAGGGTTCTCACGCACTTCGCTCTTCTAGCTGGTCCATCTTCACGAATCGTTTTCCACAATGGAGGTAAAACAAACAAAACAAGCTGGTAAGCTACCAAACAGGAAATACACATAGTGTAGAGCGGATGTAGAATTGACCAATCAGAGGCCTCCTCTGCAGCACTGTCTGCCGCCACCTACAATTTTGGAGAGGTGTCTGCGAAAGGTGGGGGGCATATTTGCGTTCACTGCGACACACACAGACGACCTGATTTCTGAGTATAAACCAGCCGTAAGACTTTTTCAAACGGTTTTCTTAAAGTGCTATATGCCTAACACTAGGTGGCGCTCATTCTAAACTGTAATCAAAAGAAAAGCTGTTCTGAACTCCCTATTTGGTGATTGTGCCACCTCCCGTCTAAAATGGCCCCCTGTGCAGTTACCCACATTAATCATAATAAAAACTGCCTCTAACTACATGCTGGTGACCTGTTGTTTTCCTGTGCGTATGTTGCAGTTATGAAAGCTCAGAGCCGGGGGCGGTGCTGATCTCTGCCCTGCAGGAGCGAGGCCTGGATGAGCTGAAAAAAGCAGTGGAGCGGGAGATTGTAAAATCCACCGGAAAACAAATTTTAGACTTGCGAGTTGACCTCAGCACTCCTCAGTTAAGGTCAGGATGAGCACATCTATCGGCTCACTGTGTCGGTTTCTGTGCCGTGAGGTGATCATGTGTCCCCGTCCACAGCTGGCTGTACAAAGAAGCCACCGTTCAGGACGTGCAGGTGGACGCAGACGAAGGCTCGGCCGTGGTGAAGGTCATCATCAGCGCTGCTGCTTATGGACGCTACAAGAAACTTTTCGGAGGTAGATGAGAACAGAGGAAGCTGAAAAGAACTCAACTCTGAACCTTAAAAAAATATTTTTGCTCTGCGGTGATTAAAAGATCAGATTTGATTCATCTGAAATAGAATTAGAGTTTTGTTTTTTTTGTAAAAATATATTGATTCCACATTAGAGATGCTGAAGGTCATTTTTTTGTTTTGAATAAATGATGATTTCTCTTTGAATCGGAGATGATTCAAAAAAATCACATCCACTAAAAGAAGCTGGGAAAAGAAAAATTCGATGTATTTTAAAAAACCCTTCAGTACAGCTTCCCCCTCTGGGTGGAGCTCTCCGGCAGCAGCTTCTGGTTCAAGGCTATCACCAGGGAGCAGAGGGGCAGCGGCCCCACAAAGTCTCCTGCTATAATGTTGAGGCTGTCGGGGTCCGATCCAGGCTTCTGCTTCTCCACCCATTCCCTCAGATGCTCCCAGTTACTGAAGGTCAGCGTTCGCAGGGATTCCTTCTGATTCTTGGCGATGTAAGCCCTCGGGGCCGTGAGGTTCAGGCCGGAAACAAAGAAACACTCTGCAAAGACAAGAAGGTGTCAAAACATCATCCACATTTAATGCAACTTACTTACTTAATTCACATTTTAACCTAACGAAATGTGATAAACCAACATAAAGCATGTTGAGGAAAGTGGAAGGAGACATCTGAAAGTTGTGCCAGTTCATTTTACTCTGATACCTCTAAATAAAGTTTTTATATGCACCTTGGAACTAAATAGGACACGGTGAACATGGGATAGAAAGTGCCATGACAGAAACATGGTGGTGCTGGAATCATGCTGTGGGGTCACTGCATCAAGGAGAGGAACTGCTGCTCAGACTTGATGGAAATAAATTCAGGACAATCCAACACATGGAAATGAATTGTTGTAAATGCTTTCTATCATATCAACCAACATATAGATGTTAGAAGACTTGCAGCTAATCTTAGCTGATTAAAGACCACATCACTTTCCTTCCACCTCACTGTTATATATTATATTATTATCTCTGGTGGAGATCTTTGTATCTATTATAGGCAGAGTTTGTCCTAGAAAAACAGGAGAGGCTTCAAATAAGATGAAAAGGGTTGTAAAAAGCATCTAGCTGCAATGTGAAAGATTACGGTAAGCTCTTCTCACCTCAGGCTATTTATTGATACCTTGATGCTTCTTATTTAACAGGAATAAGCAGATGTTTAAGTTGAAAGTCCAGTTTATTTAATGTGATGCAGGAAAGAAGAGTACTGAAATATGAGTGTTAAATATGAGTGTTAAATAAGGCTAATTCAGATACATTACTGCAGGGACAAAACAAAGCTGTTATTCTGACTTTCTTTTTTGAGTTTTTACGGCACTAGTGGCTCGTTTTTCTGTCAGTAGGCTGACAGGAAATGTTGTATGAGAGAGGGGGAGACATTCAGCAAAGGACCACAGGTCGGATTCGAGTACTAAAGCCTCCATACATGGGTGGTGCGCACTAACCACTGCACCACCTGCACACCATTTATTCTGACTTTTTTTAAGCTTCTCAACCTTATTAGTTACTAGAAATCTTTTTTTTTCTGTTTAGAGGGGGAAAAAATAATAATTAGGGGTGTAATAAATAAATAATTCTGACTAATATTCAGATATTTAATTAGTACCCACTAGTTGGCAGCACATCCTCTAGGAGCTGCTCTGCACCACCCGCAGCAGAGCAGCAACAAGATCTTGTCAGGTTTTCAGACCTGTCTCCTAATAAAAATCACACTGTATTGTTTTTGTTAATGTATTGGGATAAATCCTATTGTGAGACATAAACTGTGATTTCTATCGAATCTGCAAATTCTTACCAATTCGCATCCTCATTGCACAACAAATGAGTAATGAAAGTCTTTTTGCACAGTTTTTTATGTCCCATACTCATTTTAAATATTCAGTCAAAATATGTGTATTATTGAACTGAAATTAATTGAACTGATTATTGAAAGGCTTTGAAAGTTGGGATTTATTCCAACAAGTCTAAAAATATATTTTAATCTAATGTGATTCACTTTTTTTCCCCATTAAAAAAGATGTAAAAAAAAAGCTCAATTTCTGCTTTAATGTGACTAAACATTTTATATTTATGTTATGGTTAGATTACTACACTTTATTACCATTTGGTTGAGCTTTAATGAGCCATTGAGGAGACATAAACTCCAGAGGAAGACACTCCAGTCAGATGGATAGAAAACATTTTAGCTTTGTGAAAAATATCTTGTGCCAGAAGATTTTTCATCACCATGAACACACCATCCCTACAGTGAAGCATGGTGGTGGCAGCATCATACCATAGGAATTCTTTTCTTCAGCAGGGACGAGTAAAACCGGTCAGAGATGATGGAGGAATAGATGTAGCTAAAGACAGGATCAAATCTATCACTTGAATCATGCTCTTGTGTTTAGAATGGCCTAGTCAAAGTCCAGAACAAAATCCAATCAAGAATCAACGGCAAGGCTCAACGTTTAGGCTTCTCATTCCGAGAAATTAGGTGAAGAGTCTGGGAAAATGTTTGTAGGTGTGCTAAGCTATTAGAGACATCCTTCCCCAAGGGAACATAAATGCATGCCACATGTTAGGTTATGGGCAAATTTCTGCATTCTGAAGACCAACCCACCTGGACGTCCCATGTCTTTGTTCCACTCCAGGTAGCGTATTACACCGTCCGCCGTTTGTTTATTTGCCCACCAGTACGGGATGGCGGGCCACAGCTGCGGATGTCTTGCCACCAGTTGGGATTCATATGAGAGAACGACCTGGTAACCGGATGCCCACAGGCTCCGCAGGCTTAGGACTGCTTCCTGTGTAAGGACATAGGCAGGGTGCAGACAGTGAGGCAGTGCTTTGTTTTCAGGGTGATCATCACCTGTAGCAGGAGGACGCTGACCTTCCGGGGACAGAGCTTGGAGCCAAACAGTTTTTTTAAACGGGAGATGAACAGTTCGTGGCACTCATCGTCCATCCCCTCAAAATGGCTGCAAGCCAGGATAACGACCTCCTTCGGGTGAGAGTTCAGCCAGTAAGCTACGCATTCCAGCGTTTTCTGTAGGGGGGGAGAAAATAATGTTGATGGCCAGAAAAGAACAGAAAAAAAGCAGTTAAAGGGACCTAAACTCACCAGGACTGTCAAGTGTGTGTATATAACATGGGTAAAGTAGAGGTCGTCGGATGGGTCGTTTGGTTTGTGTGCGACACGGAGATCAAAGAACCGAATTCCCTTTGCCAGCTGCTCCTCAACGCTCTTGTCCTGAAGACAACAACACACCATCAAATGTTTTTTTGTTTTTTGTTCTACAGTGGAAATAGTAGAATGGGGGGAGTGGCGGCCTAGTGGTTAGGGCATAGAGCAGGGAATCCTGAGGTTCTGAGTTCAAGCCACACTCCCACAGACTGCCGCTCTGGGTTTAAATGCAGAGTTCTTTTTTTTTTTTGCTTTGTATTTGTGACAGTGGAATGACAATAAATAAAAATAAGCTGGAAAAAAAAGTGTTTTTCCTCTTGAGAAATTCTGGTTTGCCCTTCTTTGCCAAATTGTTTGAATTCAGCACTTTGGGTCTTAAAGCATGAAGAGATTAAAATCTCTCTATTGGATCCAAGCCAAAATAAGGACGAGGCCACCCCCAACTCACCTTGTGTTTCTCTAAACATTCATTTGTAAATTTTATGCAGTGACGACCGCCATTTCATTTTAAGGAAGAGAAAGTTGGCAACAGGACGCTTTGCAATCATTGTAAAGTGGCAATTACATCCGCCAGAGGAAATACATCCAACGTGCAGAAACACAATGAATGCTGTGTTTTTGATGCAAGAACAAATCGGGATAAACACCTTCGAATAATAATTCCATCCATTTTCACCCGCTTAGTTGCAGTGGGGCTGTTGCCTATATCTGTCAGTCTCTTGGTGAGAGGCGGGGTACACCTTGGACAGGTTGCCAGTCTGTTTCAGGGCACCACATGCACACACAAGCATGCATACACACTCGCACACCTAAGAATTTAGAGAAGGCAATTAATCTGACAGTCATGTTTTTGGACTATGGGAGGAAGTGTGAGTACTCTGAGAGAAACCATGCATGCTCAGGGAGCACATGCAAACCCCAAGCAGATAGACCCCTGGCCGGGAATCGAACCCTGAACCTTCTTGCTTAAAGGCACTAGTGGTACCTACTGCACCACCCTAAAGATCTTGGAGTTCATCAGGACGTTTCTGCCATACTTTTCACCTTTTAATGTTCCAGTGGATGCTAATCCCTCTCTCTCTCTTACTGTCAAATCCTGACCATAACGGAGTTGAATCCTGCAGTGCTTTAGAAAATGTTCTGGGTTCTGCTGTAGTCTCTCATCCACCGTCAAAAATGAAGCAGCAAACAATTCTTTGCTGCTCAAATCACTTTCGGTGTGAACGTGGCATTAGTCATTTTGATTGACCGGTCCCTCGTGGTAAGGTTCATGAATGTTTCATGTGTTTTTTGGATGACGCTTTAGGAACCACTGGGATCCGTGATCTTTACGTTGCTTTTTCACCTAATAAAAGTAAATTGTTTTGCTTTCAATCTGTTCATTGTTTTAACTTAAGGTGTGTTCTATGGCTTTTTGCGATCTGACTAAGCCTCATGTTGTCAAACAGGTTTTATTCAAATGCAGGTTCTTTTCTATAGGCAAGACAATGAGAAAGGTTTTCTGTAAAAGTTTAAAAAACAAATCCACTGGACTTGGTTTCCAAGGTTTGAAGACGTTTCGCTTCCTCTACAGGAAGATTTCTCAATTCAAATCTGAGAACATGACATTCTCATGACATTCTTAACATTTGAATTGAGAAATCTTCCTGGAGGAGAAGCGAAACGTCTTCAAACCTCGGAAACCAAGTCCAGTGGATTTGTTTTTCTAAACTTTTACGGAATGACTATGACCTGGATGACTGAGAATCTTCATCAGCATATTGCACTCCATTTTGGGAATGAGAAAGGTTGTTTTTTTCCCCCTGAAGGACTGAGATTCTTTGAGAGTAACTTTCTATATTTACTCACGTTTGTCTGAGACAAACAGTGACAAGAAAAAGAAAAATCTGCCTTCACACACGATTATACCATTACAGAACAATAAGCCATTTTTTACGTGGCTGAGTGTTATAAACACAAACAGGTCACCTAAAGGTAGTATTTCAGTTTCAATCACATGATCTTCCAGTGGTATTGAGGAACCAGGCTCTAGAACAATTAGTCAGCTCTTTCTCTAATCTGGAGAATGTTCCCTCCTCCTGATTTGACCCTCAGCCTTTAAACTCTGACCCCCTATTTTCAGCTCCTGTCAGAGCAACAAATATCAATTTCATTGCTGTATTTATCTTTCACTTTTTAAACTTTGGACCATCTCAACTCCTTCGCTTCATGACACTCGTGATTTCTCGCTCCAATGATGTCGATTCTACAGTTTGCTTCTTGGTGAGCTAACTTTGAAGTCAAACTTTGGTAAATCAAACTACTGTAGATCTTGGTGGATGTTTAGCTAACAAACAAAAAATATTTTTTAGCCTCCAACAGCCTTAAATCATGCATTAAATACCTCCATCCGTTAACCCCAACCAACTTCTTCACAGCATAATGCTGCCACCACCATGTCTCTTAGTGTACAACCAAGTAACTAGTATGTGAGATGCATTTTAACACATATATGTTAGGAATACAATAGTAAAGGGTCAATATTACAAGTATAAAGTCATAATTTTAGTCAAGAGAAATGTCATTAGTTAAAAGATTAAAGTCATATTATTATAAGAATACAGTTGTGATATCTTGAGCCTTAACATTATCAGAATCGAGTCGTATAATCACAAGATTAAAGTCAGATTATTGTGAAAAATAAGGTGTAAAATTATGAAAGAGTCAAACATTACAAGGATGTTACAATATGACAAAAAAGCTGTAACCTTACCCGATTAAAATCATAATATATACATAAAAAGCATATTAATAGAAGAAAGTCATAAAATTACAAGATTAAAATAAAAGTCTTATGAGATTTATGTCATTATATAAAAATAAAGTTATACAATTATGAGATTAAAGACATGAGAAATTCATTGTAACGCAGCTATAAAGTCATAACGTTATGAGAATGTCATGTTACTATATTAAAATCCTCATCTTATGAGAATAAAGTTGCAGTTATTTGAAAATAAAGCCATAACATTACATAACAAAGTAAAACAAAAAAACAATATTAAAAGAATAAAGTCATGGTATTGTGAGAATGTCGATATTATCAGAATATTCCGAAAACAAAGTTCTAAAATGAGAAAAATAGTCCTAATATTACAAGGCTGAAATCATATTGGAAAAAGGGGTTTGTCTGTTTTTAGTTGCATGTTGTCTAAGCAGAAACAAGACTTTCTTGGGCTACTCTATGAAGCAACTCAACCCTATTTCTGATATTTGAATTGAAAAAGCTTCCTGGATGGGAAGCAAAACTTCCTTAAACTTGGAAACAAAGTCCAGTGGATTGTTTTTTAACATTTTTGGAATCACTATGACCTAGATGACTGAGAATCTTCACCACCATATTGGAAAAATAAATGTAATATATGATGAGATTTAAAGGGGCTGCCAACTTACATGTCACTCTTACAAGAAGAAGGTTTGCTGTTCAGTAGAGCTGATCACCTCAAGTCAGTTATAAAAAAAACTTATTTTTTTCATAACATCTTGACTTTACTCATATATCACAGCTTTATTCTGATACGATTTGGAATATTTACTTAATATTATGGCTTAATTCTTAAACAAAAAAGTCGCAGTGGGCCTGATACTGAGTCCTACTTTGTGTGTAAGCTGGGTGTAGAGATAGTTTTCTAAGTATTTTTCCACATGTTTTCTGTATCCAGTAAAATAAATATAAACATTCTTTTTATGGATGTCTTAAATATGGCCTCATTCCAGCCACTCTTATGTAAAACTGAAACAGTTCCTTTAGATTTTATTTCAGGATCTTGGAGTAAAGAGGTTATAAATGTGTTTAATAAAGTCCATCAATTTGCTTTACCTTTAGCAGCTTGTGGGCGGAGCCAAAGCTAAACCAGGCAGTAAACATCAAACCAGCTACTTGCTGGAAAAGGAAGAGCCTGATTCTTACATTCCCTTGGCTGTGATTGTAGCATAAAGCTGATTTGGAGTGACGTGTTTGTATGAAAAAGAAGGAACGTCTTCAGTTTGAACATAAGGACAAAAAAAAGAGGAAGATGATGAAGATGTAGGAAGCAGAAACTGAAACGATGACTGTTGGTTTATGAAGGTATAAGCTGCATAAAGAGAACAAAAATATACTTTTGAGACAGTCGAACAGGGAAGCAGATCTTATAGCTGAAAGCAGAACAAAGACGTTTAAGGCAATACTGAAAATCCCCATTTGATGGACATGGACCTTCACAGTGTGTAAGGGGAGCAGGATCCATAGTAACTCTGGAGGAGCTGCAGATCCACAGCCCAGGTAGGAAAATAAGTAGACAGGAAGACTTGTTTGCACTTTTGCCATAAGCCACAGAAGGGACAAAGCAAACATGAGCCAGAATGCTATCTGTTTAACCACAAGCACAACTCTATAGCTGATAGAAAACTAACACTGCACCTCCACTGGAACACTCTCCCTACTGTAAAACATGGTGGTGGTGGCATTATGATGTGGGGATGCTTTTTTTCAGCATTGACAGGCAAGCTGGATGGAAATAAGATAATCTTAATTAGAAATGATTATAATATGGTTCAGATTACTGCTTATCCATGTGTTAGAATGGCCCAGTCAAAGTAAACACTTCAATGAATTTAGAGAATCTAAGGAAAGACTTTAAAAAATATATTTTATCAGATCTTCATCCAGTATGAAAGAGAGAAAAATATTCTGGAGAGAAAAATGTGAAGGATAATTCCCAGGCTGGTACAGACAGTTCACAAAAAATAAGCAGTTTATGTGACACAAGGGGTTGAAGATAATAAAAGGGAAAAAAATGTTTAGATTGTTATTTATAATAAACTTCATAAAAATATGCAACTCTTTCCTTAACATTTAAGTTGTTTTTATTAAATCTCCATAAAACATGTCGTTTGTGGTTTTTAACATGAAGAAATGCAATAAAGCTTCTAAATGAAAGATGAATTGCGTACAAAGAGCATATGAATTTAGATCCTCTTTATTAAAGATGAACTTTGCTTTTCTTACACCACCTTTCTTCATACCTGTGTGGTGGCCCATTTAAAGATGGCAGGTCTGGTAAAGCAGGAAAACAGTCCATCCAGGATCCTGAATAAGTCAGACTCAGACCTGAGGAGAGGCGAGTTTATGTCCAGACAGTAACTCATGGCGTCATGGCTCCCTATGTAAAAAAAAAACAAACAAACAAACACCAATACAGCTTTAAGACTCCCAAGAAGAGGAAAACGTTTCTAAAAGGATGGCATTTAAAACTAGAATTTTACACCGCAAAGATGATCTTGAAATAAGAAAATATTTCTTCAATTAAATGTATTTACCCTCAATTTGAGAATTTAAATAAAATGATTTGCCAAAGGAATGAGTATTTTTACTCTATAAATAAGATGATTAGATATTATGCACATGAAATAAGAAAATGCAGTTATTTTTTCTTATTTTAAATGTAGATTGTCTTGTTCCATTGGCACTTACCTGCTTAATTCAAGAAAAAATGAACTTATTTTAAGAAAAAATAGTTTATTTAGATTTCATTTTTTTTTGCAGTTTTTGTCTAACTTGATGTTTTATTATTATTGTTTTATTCGTATATGACTGGTTTGATTATAAAAGGCTCTGCCTAAACTATAGTATAAATATATTGACTTAAAGGTCATAGCTACAACTCTTTCATCCAATTGATTAAAAAAAATTATCAAAAGGGCATGTAAAGTGGTGCAGAATGAAACTTAATTTTACAATTTTTGTATTATTTATTTTTTTGTATAGATAGTTGTTTTGTTAATTTTGATGGGTCCAAAATACAGAAATATTTTACTCTAGCTGTAATGTGATGTACGTGAAAGTATTATGCACCAATAGGGTTAGTATTAGCTCAGGATTTGCCAGATCCTGGTAACACCATGATAGCACTGAGAAATTAAGCCAAAAAATAGATTAAAAAAAGCAAAGGGTGAACTTTGATAAAACTTTTAGTGTTTGTGTTCACTTAATAAATAAGGTCTCTGCTTTTCTTCATAACTGCTAAGTTAAATGTTTGGTTAGCTTCAGCAGGTATGGCAAATGGCTGGCAAACAGTGCAGAAAAAGAGCAGGTGTGCGCGCCCCTAACTGGATGGGAGGAGTTAAACTTGTAGCTGTCACCTTTAAAGGAATAGTACACCCAAAACATGATTAGCCTTCATTTTCTACTCACCCCCATGCTGAACAACACTCTGGAGTACTTTTTTGATATCTCAAATGCATCTGGAGATCTGGGAGGCTTCTTGCTGTCTGCTGACATTTAAAAAATGGAGGTCTATGGCGCCCGAGGCAGAAAGGTCCATAAAAGTCCACAAAAAACGTGTCAATATTCCTCCATACTGCTCGTCCAATGTATTCCAAGTGTCCTGAGTGGGTAGCATCCAGAATTTACTCGAAACGAAGTCATTTAGAATGTTTTTAGAGCATAAACAGTAGTGTATAGGATTTCCTAAAAGCGCGTTCACGAGTCTACAGAAACCGCGGCAGACCAAACCAGACGAAAGTGCTAATTCAGCGTCTGCTCTGCCGATAATGCAAGCGTAGAAGAAGAAATGTGATGTTTACCTGTTTAAAGAAAGAAACAACGAAAGAAAAATGTCTGAGGACTTCAGTGTTGAGGAAGAGCATGAGTTCTTTGCCGAGCTGAATGCGCACTTTCATCTGGTTTGGTCTGCCGCGGTTTCCGTAGCGTCATGAACGCGCTTTTAGGAAATCCTATACACTACTGTTTATGCTCTAAAAACATTCTAAATGACTTCGTTTCGAGTAAATTCTGGATGCTACCCACTCAGGACACTTGGAATACATTGGACGAGCAGTATGGAGGAATATTGACACGTTTTTTGTGGACTTTTATGGACCTTTCTGCCTCGGGCGCCATAGACCTCCATTATTTGAATGTGAGCAGACAGCAAGAAGCCTCCTAGATCTCCAGATGCATTTGAGATATCAAAAAAGTACTCCAGAGTGTTGTTCAGCATGGGGGTGAGTAGAAAATGAAGGCTAATCATGTTTTGGGTGTACTATTCCTTTAAGTTCCAATTCCTTAAATAATACATTTTATTTCGAAGGCGCCTTTCTGGACACTCAAGGTCACCGTACTAAAGATAAAAACACAGAATAAAACCATTGAAAAAATACAAAGGCTGGGACAGGGAAATTAATATTGAAGAGAATAGGCGATTTTAAACAGATGAGTTGGGTAGCACAGCTGCCTTACAGCAAGGTGGTTCCGGGTTTGATTCCCGGCCCAGGGTCTTTCTGCATGGAGTTTGCATGTTCTCCCTGAGAATGCATGGGTTCTCTCCAGGTACTCTGGCTTCCTCCCACAGTCCAGAAACATGACTGTTAGAGTAATTGGCTTCTCTAAATTCTCCTTAGGTGTCAGTGTGTGTGCATATTTGTTTGTCATGTTTGTCTCTGTGTTGCCCTGCAATGGACTGGTGACCTGTCCAGGGTGTACCCCGCCTCTCGCCCGTAGATGGTGGTGTGACAGGCAGAAGGGACAGACAGTTATAAAGACGAGGAGGATCTGAGAGCACGGCAGGGGGGTGGAAACATGCAGGAGGCCTGATGGGGGGGCAAGGTGGTTAAGGGCCTTGAATGTCACGGTAGGAATTTTATATTGAATGTGAAACTGCACAGGTAGCCAATGGAGCTGTCGGAGAACCGGGAGATGTGGTGGATCTAGTTATAATGCGGGCAGACTGAGTTCTGGACCAGTTCTAGTTTATGGAGGGATTTTTGAGGAAGGGCAAAGAGGAGAGAGTTACAATAGTCCAGTCTGGACGTGACCAGGTTGTGGACAAGTATGGCAGCAGTGTGTGGAGTAAGGGAGGGACAGAGGCGGTGAATGCTTCTGAAGCGGAAGTTAAATGACCTAGAGTCTATAGTCATCATTGTTTTGTTTTTATGTCTAAATTATATTTGGTGTCTTTAAAAATCCGCATTTCTAAAGATAATTATAATGTTCTCCTTTCGGCCTAGTGGTTAGGGCATAATGCTTGGACTCCTGAAGTTGTGAGTTTAAAACCCACTCCCACAGACTGCCATCTTGCTCTCTGAGTGAGACCATGTAACCCCTGATTCCTCTCCGGGGGGCTGCACAGTGGAAGCCTTCTGCTACCCAAACAGGATGGGTTAAATGCAAACAGTTAATTTCTCCATTTTGAGATCAATTAAAGTTCAGTTTATACCCTTATATAAAAAGGACCTTAAAGACACCACCCGCTGGTTTATTTTTCTAACTACCAAAGTTACACTGATAGCAGCAGAAACATGATCAATTTGGATGGATTTCCACAGCAACATTTCATAGATTTGGTTTCACCAAAGCAGAAAGGACAAAAAAAAAAATAATCCTGCTTTGTTTGCATTGTGTTGATGACATCACAACAGCGAGCCCATGCGCTAACATACTAAAAAAACTGCTTCAGGCGTGTAATTTATTACATTTCTTTTTGCATATTTAAAACATCTGAGTACCAGTTTAGTTAAAAATGGCTCAACGGTATGTCTGAGTCAGAGTTTCACTTTAACTGATCTCATGGATCTCTCTAATTCATTCTGACATGAATAGCGAAAGTTAAGGAAACAGGAGACATGGATGGTGGTTATCTCTAAAGCTTTGGTTGGTATCTGTTTATACGCCTGGGGAAATAATTCATATTAAATGGTTGCTATGCTTCTCCACAGACCTGTTGCAACAAGGTAAGTTAATCAAGCAATTGCTTCGGGCCCCGACCTGGCCTCAAGCCCCAAGAAAATGGCTGGCCTGGTTATAAACTGACATCAACCACAAATAACAGTCATTTAAATTTAGTATTTGTCAAAGCAGAAAATTACAACGATGCTGTAACTGGATACGCCTCAAGGGGGCCGTCTCCAGTTGCAACTCATTCAGCATACCCATAGTCAATACGCTTGAGCAAGACGCCAGATTTGCATTTATCCCTTTAGTTTTGTATGAAAAATAGACTTTAAACTACCTCAACAGGCGTGTATCCCTTTAGTCATGTACAAAAAAGAAATAATTTCAGATCAGATCACCATACACTTTAAAAAACACCAAAAAGTAAGTCATTAAATAGGTCTTTTGTATTTTTCTGCACATTTTGCTGCATCCGCTTAGAGACGCTTAGCCTCTGCAATTACTTTTATATCGAACATGATGTGACTCGGACTCGGTTACAGAGTTATCTCCACCCCTCCCTTCACTGTTTAATTTGATTTACAGTAAGGCGAGAGGTGGAGACTGAGAGCTGAGCTGAGGAGGTCACAGAGAGTTTTCAGAATATATAGCAACATGTTTTATATATATATATATATATATATATACATAAAAAAATTAAATTAACTGCATTAATTTTAATAGCCCATTAAATGTTTCTAGATACTTAATTGAAATTAAAGCGTTAAAGTCCCTGCCATAATATATAACTACGCATAAGATATGCATAACATGATGCATATAATTCACAGTATAACATATATATATATATATATATATATATATATATATATATATATATATATATATATATATATATATATATATATATATATATATATATATATACTGTGCTGTGAATTATATGCATAATCTTATATTATAAAATTATGCATATAATTCACAGTAGAGTTCAGATTTTTTTTTAAATATGGACCTATGAGTCAACTTTGTTGAGGCCCCAAATTACTTGAAACGGCCCTGAATGCTGAAAGGTTTGATAATGAAATCTGTCCATTCCAGTTTGCTCTGCTGTTATCTTCCAAAGCCACTTCAGTCATTTTTCACTAGAGTCACACAGTGTTCTCAAATTCAGCTCAGACATTGTGCTCCTGTCCCCGTACAACACAAAAGAGAGCTTTCCTTTGACAAAAACAAAGCAAGATAAAGAAAAACATCAGGTACTTTTATCAAAATCTTTGAAAACAATATAGAAAATGAGACTAGGAATACCCTACAGATCAGCAGTATTGAGCTTTATTCTTGATCTTATATCATATTTAGTTTAATACTTTATCTTTTTTTGTAGATGTTTTACTCATTAATCTTTTTTTGTAATACTAAGCTGGTATGAATATGCTATAATGCTGCAAATTGTAAAAAGCAGGAGAACACATTAATTCTGGTTTATTTAGAATAAGACCAGATTTATTTGTGTTTTCTTATTACCAATGAAATGACAGCTTTCAACAACAAAAGACCCACGAAGATAAAATCTGAGCTGTAAAGCAGAAAAGGTTGTTCAGATATGAATTTCAGGAAATTATAGTTTAAGTTTGACACCTAGAAAGAAAAGTTAATCAGTGAATGAAGCGTTTCAGATGGTAGGAGAGGATTTCTAGGAGTCAAGGTAAATATATCTTTAACCATATTTAATCGACGTTTTAATTCAAATAAATAAATAATCTATCTAATCATTGTTTAATCACTGAATGCTGGAGGTAGAGTGTGGAGTAGGTACCAGGTATGGCCAGGTGTGTCAGAGGAATGTCCCACAGCTCCTCCGGTAGAGCAGACATCCAGTCCTGGTTGCAGACCTCCATGTCCAGCTGTTGGTCTCCGAGCTGCAGCCGTTTCACCATCAGTCACATGTTTTATCTACTCCCCTTCACCTGATCCCTCTAAACCATCGATCAAACACACAGGAAGGCAGGATCAGCATGACGGGATGGACGGTGGGAGGAGAAACTCCGTTTCCTGCTTTTTGCAGACCTGAATGACGGCATTACCGCCACTAGAGGGCGCACCTCTAGGTAAACAATGTCAGAGAGAAAAGTCCCAGACATTTTCCCACCAAGAGTTAAACAATGAATGCATAAAAAAATACCTTTGGTGTGTTTCCTGTGAATTTTGAGTCTCTTAATAACTTATTCTAAATCTAAATAAAACTTTATCTTGTCAGATTTACATGTTCAACACACTCAATTTAATTCAGTTTATTTCTATAGCACCGATTCACAACACCAGTCATCTCAAGGCACTTTACAGTTCAACCAGATCATCCAGTCAAATTGATTCATAGTTTTCTATCTAAGGAAAACCAGTTGATTGCATCGACTCATTGACTGGAATGCAATCCCTCACACTAAGCATGCTTGTAGCGACAGTGGAGAGGAAACACTCCTATTTAACAGGAAGAAACCTCCAGCAGAACCAGGCTCAGTGTGAGCGGCCATCTGCCAAGACCGGCTGGGATTCAAGGAGACAGAAGCAGAGATACAAAAGCTTTATCATGATTTCACTTGGGGAACCAGTGTGGGGTCTTTGGCTCAACTGCAGAAATAAAAATAAACATTTATCTTAAAGATTAAAGTCCATTAGTCGCTATATTGGGTATCCTCAACCCTACATTAGTGCTAAGCTCTGCTCAAAAGGAGATTGTTGCCTTTACATTACTGGCTGGATGTAAAGACTTCCTTTTACACCAGAAGTCAGATAAATGTCCCTCAATATCCCTCTGGGTTAAAGACGAGGTTTATTCTGAAGCTTGAGGAAATCAAATATATCCTTCGAGGGTCTACACAGAAGTTTTACCAGAAGTGGCAATGCTTTCTTTCCTATTTTTCAAACTTTGAAGTTTTTGCCCAACTAAACAACATTGCATGTTGTGATAGTTTTAAGTATGGGTTTTCATACCTGATGAATGACATATTCATTTGTTTTTGTTTTTTTTCCATCAGGTGGACTTTGAGCTTGGGGGGGGTCTTTTTTTACATTTTATTTCTTGTTGGGAATAAAAAAAAAAAGTGGCTGAAACTGCAGGATTGTAATTTGTAATTTTTTACTTTTTACTTTGGTCCGATGCTTTGTCAGTATTGTAGTGACTTTATAGATTTGTGTGTGATCACAGCAAAATACGCATCGTGTATGTACATATATATGAATATATATCTTTATATGTATGCTTGTATGTATGTATATAAATATATATATTTTTCCTTTTTTGTTCTTTCCTCTTTTGGCTCCAATAAAAATAATTGAGAAAAAAAAGATCTTTCTGTTCGCTATATTATTACACTTTGTTTTTAATGTATTTTTTTTTAGATGTTTGTATAGTAAACCAATTGTTTGGCTCATGAATTGACTCTGGTAGCGATTTTGAAAGCTAAAAATGTTATGTTTCTTCCCATAACTTAACTATATAAAATTTAACAGAACCTCAGTGGAACCTGACTTAGTTTATTTGACATTTTTGCCAGAACGCAGTGAGATCAATGACCTAATATCACATTCGGTGTTCTTCCACATTGAACACAAAATAGTGCCATTGAATAATGTATAGTTTTATCACATAAATAACAAAAAAAAGTTTGAAAACCCCCTAATCTGGATAACATCCCTATATCTATACTTCAATAAAATAAATAGAGGTCTGCTGTCGTAACGAGACTAAATGAGGAAACAACAGAGGGGTATGAATAACTTGTCAGGACACTGAAAATGATCCCTCTGGTTTCCCGTTGCAACCTAAAAAGCCTCTAAACCTAGTATACAGTAACAGGAGCTCCTGCTCCCAAAGATCAGGGTTTGGTTCCTTTTAATATGTTTTACTGGTTTAAAAAGTTAAGCATATTTCCATAGGTGGATTTTAGAGTTATTTCATGTTTTATTATTTGCTATAATACTATGGCGGAATTTGAATGCCTAATATAAGCAAAGATACGACCTCAAAATTGATTTAAACAACTTATTATTCATGTGACTGTATTGTTTCAATTAATATGGGATCTTGGTATTATTTGAATGCAAAGATAAAATAAGTAACACACCAAAATGGAGCGCTAAAGAGTCATGGAGGATGTCTACATTTAATTGACTGGCTTCTGTTTGAGGTCTCATCCTTCCTGCTGGAGCCAGCAGGATGACAGATTAAGAGTCGAGGATTTGTGGCAGTCGCTCGGCTTCGCTCCACAAATCACTTTTACTTTTGGCTTTATAAGCCGAATATGACAGCAGCGTATTACAGTATGAGTCGGAAGAAAATGTATGGAATTTAAATTCAATGAATGGAATTTAAATTAATGTTTGTCATCAAGTGTCTGAAGGTAACATTTGTAAATTTACACAGCATGAATAGGAAAATCAATTGAAAGATGAAAAAAAGAAAATATCTACTATAGAAGTACATTTTTCATCTCTAATAAATATATAAGGCCTGTTTGCTTGTTTTGTTTCCTTCACACTCTACTGTTGATTTTAATTTATCTATAAATTAAAATCAATGTTGTGTATCACAGAAAATTAATAAACTTAAAATAATGTGTTCAATAATAGATTTGTCGAACTTAAATTTAAGTAACAAAAAAGCAAGTTTTGTCAGCTTTAATGTTGAATAAAAAATTTTTTCTAATGATTTATAAAATAACATAAAATAAATAAGTTGAATTCCAACAGTTAAACAATTGATTTTTTTAATTCTTCCCTTTATTATGCAAGAACTGAATATTTGTCTCTTTTGGGATTATTAAGGTGTAATTCCATTCAATTAAAAATTTCCACGGGCACAGCGGTGCAGCATTTAATTCAATCTTAAAACATTAGATAGAGGCTAAAAAGCAATTGAAAACAAATAAATCAAGGCTTGGGTTCATGCAAATACATCATTTTCATGCACATTGAATAAACTTGCATAAATACTTTCTACATTCTGTGGTTCAAACCAATGTGATAACAGTTACAACCTAAAGGTACAGCCAGCATTAAGCTTTTTCTGCATTTCGTTTGTGCTTCCTCTTTAAATATCCCTACAATGGGGTGGGTTTAGTTGTACCATTATTGCTTTGGACAGCCCGGCATCGAACCACTGCTGCCTTTTGAAAACTGATACAGTCCATTGCATAAAGAGTGAAGTGAAAGTAAACAAAGAAGTTCATTCAATACATTGAAAAGTCTGCTTTCCCAGACGCTGTAAAACTGAAATGTACACACCGCTGCCTCTGGTAAGTGCATTAATGCTCAAATGAATTATTCAAGTGGTAAAATAAGTTTCCATCAGTCTGATGAAAAAACAAACTTGTGCAACTTTCATGCTTGGGTTTCCTTCAGATTATTGGTGCTTTCAGCTCTGAAGTCATGAGGGCTACTTTAGTAGCTTCTCATTCAGCATCACAACAGTGGGTGCAAAGTGTCTCTCTGTGATAAAGTCCCCAGCTATGATGTTAAGAGAGCCCAGTTTAGAGCCGGGGGTCTGCTCTCTGACCCAGGCGAGCAGCGCCGGATAGGTGGCCATCACCAGGTCCTTCAGGGACTCTGTGGGGTGGGTGCAGATGTACTTTAGGTCCTCCGTCAGGTTAATCCCAGTGACAAAGAAACCACCTGAAGCACATAAAGCATGCATTATACACCTGTGCTCTATCATTTGAAGTCATGTAGGGATAGTCAGCAGGTTACCTGGTCTGCCATGTTGTTTTCTTTCCTCAAACTCCTCAATAAGAGCCTCAGCTTTGCACTTGTTGGCCCACCAGTAGGGAATATGAGGCCACAAGTCGCTGTGAGAGCTGGAGATGTTGTGTTCGTAGGAAACAATCACCTGGTAGCCCAAAGCCCACAGATTCTGTAGAGTTAACACTTCCTGGAATGGAGGTTAATCGGGTTAGTAGATGCTGGCGTTTCCTCTACAGTCCTCATTCTATGCTAGTCTGATGTTTGGATTTGCATGCAATGACTGAAATGCATACAACACTCCCTCAGTAATACATTTTCTGTAGAAAAAGCAACTGTACCGTTTTGGGGCAGAGTTTGGAAGTGAATGTACTGCGTATGGTTGCGAGCAGACGGACATGGAGCTCTGGGTTCAGACCGAGGAAGTGGCTGAAGGAAAGAATCACCACCTCTTTGGGATGAGCATCCAGCCATTCCTTTATCTCCATCAGGATGGTCTGTCAATAAGATGGTGAGACGTCATTTACATGGCAGCACTTTTCTGTAGAAACCTCACAGAACCCTAAACACACAGTGATGCATGATGGTGGCAACATCATGCTGTGGGGCTACTTTTCTTCTGCAAAAATTATGGAGTTAAAAGCCGATATTGAAACACCACTGGAAACCAGGTTTTCATGCAGGCCGGGTATTTGGAAGGCAAGTCTGTTACAAAGGATCAAGTTTCTGATTTCAGCCTTCGTTAAACATCATGTTTCTGTTTGAAAAATGTATTTAGTTTATTTTCATAAAGAAGACCTCCTAAAGCATGCTATTTTGTATCAGAATTTACATTCTGGTACTAAAAAAACAACTAATATGACAGTTAAAGGAGCAGTGAAAGAACAACAATAACTAATCAGGCTGGAAACTTTAAGAATCTCTTTAACCTTGGTGCTTAAACAGCTGCTGTCCATACAATAGCAAGCTTATCTAAACTTATTAGCCCTCTTTGCCAAAAACACACTTATCTCTCTGTTATCTACATGTTTCATGGTCAATCATACCAGCATAGTTAAAATACTGGCCCACTTTTTAAAAAGTCACTTTGACTTAATATTGACTGCCTTTACTTTTGGGATTATAAGTCATTAGCTTAGACTTGTAAATGAGTGACTGTGTCTAAACATTTGCTTTATACCATAGATATATATCCAACATTAAAAAAAATAGTTAAAATATGGTTTAAAGTCTCTTTCTCAACAGGTAAATCTAACTACATTTATACCAGTTCCAGTCTAAATACAGCCAACATGGTTTATGTATAATATAATTATATTTCTAACACAGATTTTTTGTTAAAGGAAATGGCATAGGAGCTCATGGGAAGAACAGAAAAGTCATTGACAGTATTTTTTTTAATCTAAGATGCTTTAAGTGTGAAAACACAATGATTATTAAAAAGAAAATACACGTTGATCAATCTCTAATATTTCCAACACCATTTTCTTCCTGCAAAGGAAGGCCTAGCATATCCTGGTGTGGCCAGTATTTTTTTATGGTGCACTGTGCAAAATAATAAAGAATAAAACTGCAATAACACATTGTTTGGTAAATAAAGAGAGCCAATAAGCCCAGCCTGCAGACCCCTGAAAGAAAGATTAACATTTTTATTTTATTTATTTATTCATTTAAAGCACAGACTCCACAAGAGTAAGAAAGTTAAACTTTTTGTCCAGAGCGGAGGTCTTTAACAGGGGTCTGCAACCCATAGGGGGTCCACAGAGTAGCTGAATGGGGGTCGCAAAAGTTTTGGTTGATTAGACTTCCCCCCTGCAGTTTTTTCCACTAATTGAAATGTCTTTAAATCCACATTAACACAAATTCAACAGACTGTAGTAAACAGATAAATGGAGGCAGAATATGTCTTTCAGTCATCAATGCACACATTCAGAGACACACAGGAGCTCTTTCAGGCTGGGCACCGTTTCAGTCAGAACACCTGTCCCATCAACCAGGAATCACAATCAGAATCAGAAATACTTTAGTTACTAATTCCTCAAGGCAGGCGACCTGGGTTCGAATCCGGCGTGTAGTCCTTTCCCGCATGTCTCTCCCGTTCTCTAATACCCCCTTTCCTGTCAGCCTAATGTCAAAAAAAGAGCCACTAATGCTGTAAAAACTCAAATATATATATATATATATATATATATATATATATATATATATATATATATATATATATATATATATATATATATATATATATATATATATATATAATAATCCCAGGACGAAATTACTTGACTCCATCTGTAATAGAGTGACTATAGGACCAGTTTGATATAACACAATTTCATACAATATATATAATTAGGGGTCCCTGCTCCATCTCACCATCAGTTTGGGGGTCCTTAGCCCGCAAAACGTTGAAGACCCCTGCTCTAGTGCAACATAAAGCACCAAATGGAGTCTGACTGATGAAGGAATAAAATGAGGGTAAATATTGGGGAAGTTTTCAACAAATGGAGCGAGTTCTAATCCTCCCCAGGAATGTAAAAGCTCATCTTTTTCCTAAAAAGATACAAAGTAACTTTAATGCTTATAACTTTCTCACCTTGGTAGCTATTACGCTGCTAAACAAAATATCTGTGCAGGGGGGCAAACATCTACATGTACAAAAACTAAAATTTGCTGCATTCTCCTTAAAAGGGATGTGTACGAATTGCTGACATCTAGTGGTGAAATTTAGGTATTTTCCTCAAACGTGCACTAACCCTATAGCGCACCAGTGCCTCAAACACATTTAACTATCATGACGCTTCACAAACAGGTGACCAGCCTTATGTATAAACGAAAGTAAAATTCTTCGCTTATGAAAATGTAACCAATTATAAGAGGAGGTAATAATAACACATATATAAATGCAGTCATCAATTTCAGACACTAAAAAAGATACATTGTTACACAATCCTTTAAATAATAAACCTTACTTGTAAATAATTGTTGAAGTAAACTGTAAAGATTAAATTAAACTAAGGGGCCTATGACTTTCAGCCTCTTCTGTCATGGACTTTATCATAAAAAGAAATAGATTTATAATGTTTTTATGTTTTCAGTGCATAACAATTCAATTCAGTTCAGTTTATTTCTATAGCGCCATTTCACAACACGTCATCTCAAGGCACATTACAGTTCACACAGTCAAATTGATTCAAAGTTTCCTATCTAAGGAAAACCAATTGATTGCATCGACTTGTTGACTTGAAGGCAATCCCTCACACTAAGCATGCTTGGAGCGACAGTGGAGAGGAAAAACTCCCTTTTAACAGGAAGAAACCTTCAGCAGAACCTGGCTCAGTGTGAGCGGCCATCTGCTGAAGAACCAGAACTAGTTCTACCTGGGCACTGGTCCCCACTGGCCCCTGTCTAGAAACTCCCATGGCAAAAAAACAAATAAGGTTTAAAGGGGTTAAAACAGTGGTTCCCAACCCTGGTCCTCAGGTACCCTAGTCCTGAATGTTTTAGATATATCTCTGTTCCAGTAAACCTGATTCAAATGAGGGTTCCTCCTCTGTAATCAAGTGCTGCAGAAGCCTGTTAATCATCTTTTCTTGTTTGATGCAACAAGAGGATACCTTAACCATGCAGGACAGGGGTCCCTGAGGAACAGGGTTGGACAGGAACCACTGGACTAAAGGCTGAGGAGGATAAAGTTGACTGTGGTTTGAAAAGTCAAGCCGACCCTGAGCTTTCAACATTGTTCCCGCAGAGCAAAGTTTAGGAATATAAGCACTGCAGAGGCTGAGAAAGCTTTGGAACTGAGGTGTTAATAAAGGCTGAGGTGAAAGGAGCTGAGAGAGCCAGATTATTACAATAACATGCACTTTACTTCCTTCATCTCTGGATTTTAGTTAGAGCCTCACTTGTTTTTAGATAGGATTGTACTCTGAGGAGTTTTTATATCAGAGGTAAAAAAAAAAAAATTCACGACTTAAACCATTTTGTTTTTACCTTACCTCGACAGTGAGTGTGGTGTAAACACCGTGGTAGAAGTACAAGTCAGAGGAGTGGTCGTTGGGTCTGTGTGCGATTCTCAGGTCGCAGTATCTTACCCCACAGTCCAGCTGCTGCTTGATCGTAACCTCCTAGAAACACACAGAACGCACAGCTCATTACGGCGGAGCTTCAGCACCATGAGGTTGGCCTCAACAGTGCGTTAAATTCTAGCTTTATTACTTGCGTTATTGCCCACTTGTAAACAAAAGGGCGAATGAGGGGCTTCATGTATTTGTCCAGCTTTTGAAGCATGTCTGGCTGCATCGGGTCGACGGGAGACCTGTCGTTCATGTCCAGGCAGTATGTAATTGCATTGTGGCTGCCTAAACGGGAAATCATTTGGTAATTATGAGAAGTACCGCAGTGGTTCAATGAACAGAACCTTGAAAAATGGAATCTCATTCCTTGAACTTTTGTCATATTTTATCAAAATATAACCTCAAACCTTTTCAAAATCCAAACTGTGGCATGCCTAATGATTCCCCAGCCAGGTCAATAGATTTAACAACCCATTTAGCAGCTTTACACACCTAAAGACTGAAGTTCCTGCCTGCTCTTTGAAGCAGAATAGCTCAAGCGTAGTGAGATTGGATGTTTTAGAAGTGCCTTTTTAGGGATATTTTTTGGTGAACATCACTTTTCAAGCCTTCCAGTATTTTTCCTGTATTTACCTCCACCCTGTTTCTCCTCAACCCTGACTATCTTTCATGTCACTGCTGCAGAAGAAGCCTCCTAACAGCATGATACCACCATCACAGTGCTTCATTTGGGGGATAATAACTGTTAGTTTTCTATACATATTTGCATTGTTGTCCAGAAGAGGTGGGTAGAGTAACCAAAAATTGTACTTAAAAGTGAAAGTAAAAGTAGAACCACTAGATTACATATTTTCTCAAGTAAACATGAAAAGTAGCCAATTTCTTAAAAGATAGGAAGAAATTAAGCAACAGTAAAACTGTATTTGGTCATAAGGCTACTCAAGTACTGAATAACTGATCTATAAGTATAACAATTGATTTAATATTTTATAAAATGAAATAAAGTTTAAAAATATATTAAGTAAAATTCAAATTCCCATGTCCCAAATTCACAGTGCATTATATAAATATATAATATACAGGATTACACTATAAGAAATGTAGGTGGAATGAACACTAAATATATTTTTTTTAGTTATATAACTTACTAAATCAATAGTAAATGTTGAAGTACAGTATAATGTTTATTATATTTCCCTCAACTTCCAAATGACATGGCAGATGGAAAATATTATTTAACCAATAAGTCTTGAGTAGAAAAAAAGAAGATTTCTCTGGGGCATATTTCTTAAAAACAAGCTCGTTTTGATGTAGGGAAATAAGTCAAACTGGATGGACTAGTCAGAAATTCTACTCAAGTAAGAGTAGAGATACTATTTTTACCCAAGTAAAAGTACAAAGTACAGATCTCTATTCTGAAAACATTTTCTCCTCTTTTGAACAGTTGTCTGTCAAATACAGTCTTCAAAAACACCACTTTTTTCGCTTTTTCCAGGTTCGTGACTATGTTAAGAAGTTGTTCCCTTACTTTCCAAATCGCCCTCCAGAAACCCTATTAGACTCTCTTCTCGTAATTGACCCTAATCTTAGAGGATGCATTTCGACACTTTATAAGCTTATCTGGTCAGAAACCTCAGCACCCGCAAACGCAGTTAAAACAGCTTGGGAGGAGAGTCTTAACATTATATTCACAGAACAACAATGGACATCTGCACTGTCTTTAGTTCACTCATCTTCTATCTGTGCCCATCATAGACTTATTCAATGCAAAGTTGTTTACAGGGCTCTTCACACTAACTCACGACTAGCAAAAATGTATTCTTCTGTAAATGAAGCCTGTGGCAGATGTAAACTCTCGCCTGCCAATCACTCACACATGTTTTGGTCATGTCCCGAGTTGAAACCATTCTGGAGCGGGATTTTTGATTCACTGTCTGAAACATATGGTTCTCTGGTTATCCCCAATCCACTGTCTGCAATCTTTGGCATCCCCCCTACTTCTAACCTGCCTAAAGGAATGAATCGGGCTATAGCATTTACCACCCTTTTAGCTCGTAGGCTGATCCTACTTAACTGGAAGGACCCTCAACCCCCTTCACATACCCGCTGGATTCGAGAGGTGCTTTACAATCTCAAAATAGAGAAACTGAGGTTTTCTCTCAGAGGCTCCACCAAGCCATTTCAAGCTACATGTAACATGGGACCCTTTTTGTAGATATTTTGACTCCTTGAGTCTTCTTGACCCTGACGACAATTGAATATCTTACATGCTCTCTAATTACCTATTTATATATACATTCATGTCTCCCCCCCCCCCTTTTTTTTTTTAATCTGTTTTTCTCTTTATAATTCTTATTATTTATACTTTTATTTATTTATTATTATTTATTTATTTTTTTACTTTTTATTTTTTAATCTATTTGTTTATTGATTTATTTTTTGGCCTGTGGGTGGGGTGGGTGGTCAGGGGGTTTGGGGGTTGACAGACCGTGACATTGAGTTTGTATTGATGCTTTACTTGTTCCAACAATGTCTGTCCTAAGTTTAAAATGTTCAATAAACAAAGTTTGAAAAAAAAAAAGTACAAAGTACAATACTGTAAAAGTAGTCAAAAATCAAATTTTTAAAAAACGTACTTGAGTAGATTTAACTAGTTCCTACAAACCTCTGTAGTCCAAAATACTCCTTTTTATTTCCCCTTGACGATATTTGCTGGGTTGTAAAAAAAAAAAATTAACAATTATTCTTATGCTTTTATTTTTAGAAAAACCAGTTTTGTAAACAAATTTTTTTTTATTATGTGACTTCTTCATTCATATAAGGTTATATGAACTATTCTTTATACATTATGGCATAAAATCCCTTTAAAATACATTGAGGTCTGTGGTGGAAGAAGCTCAAAGGGTAAAAATGAATCACTGTGAATGAAATATATATAAAAAACACTTTCTTCTGATTTTTTGTGTTCATTATAGTTGCTTAGTTCTTCATGGTGCCATCCTTTGATCTCTTCCTGTTTGCTATAACTCCCTAATCTCTTCCTCAGCACTGCAGAGGGGTGAGGTGTGGATCAGCCTACCGGGGATGGCCAGGTGGTACAGCGGGGTGTCCCACAGGGCACATGGCAGGTGAGACATCCAGCTCTCCATGGGCAGCTCCTTCAGGCTCAGCTCGCTGCACTCGGACATGCTGAGATCTTCCTTTAAAAAACACACATTTGTGAATATGCATGGTAAAGGTGAGTATTTAGTCGATGCATCATTCAGTTCAATTCAGTTCAGTTTATTTATATGGAGGCTTCACCAGATCATACCGTCAAATTGATTAAAAGTTTTCTATCTAAGGAAAACCAGTTGATTGCATCAACTCATTGACTTGAATGCCATCCCTCACACTAAGCATGTTTGTAGTGACAGTGGAGAGGAAAAACTTCCTTTTAACAGGAAGAAACCTCCAGCAGAACCAGGCTATGTAATGATCTTGGTTCTGTTGTTTTTCTTTAAGTTTTCTGTTTCAAGTTTAGCCAGGTTTTTCATTGATTTCTAGCTTTTTTGGTGTGTCTGGATTAATTTAAGTTGCTTAGGTTTTTCTGTCTGTCCCCTGCTGCCTCCTTGTGTTCTTTTCCCTTGGCTTCCTCGTCAGCTCTAATCACACCTGTTCCCTATCAGCTCATTAGCTCTACCTTTGTTCAGTCAGCCATAAATACACTCCCTCTGCAGTCCCTCTTTGCTGGTTCCTCGTCTTACCTTTCTTCACCCTGGCTCCTTGTTGGTTTTTCCCTGATGTCTCCATGGTTCTGGTTAGTGTTTGATTTTTATGTTGGATTTTTGGATTCCTGTTTTTGTTTAACATTTTTTAAGTTGGATTTTTGGATACCTGTTTTTGTTGCCTGATCTTGCAATAAACCCTCCAAGAATTCACCTCTGCCTCCCAGCTTCTGCTTTTGGGTCCAATCTAAAACTTTTAACCAAATCGTGACAGGCTAAGTGTGAGCGGCCATCTGCTGAGGCCGACTGGGGTTCAAGGAGACAGAAGCAGAGATACAGAAAGCAGCTATTAAAGGCGCCCTGTCCAGGAAACACACAGCCAGGCAGACGAGCTCTGAGCCAGCTCCCATATCAGAGGATGAAGAGAGCACATCCAGCCAGTCACAGTCAGAGAAACAGGACTACACTGAAAAACAGGTTGATCTCCAGCATCTATAAACAAAGGAGTTAAATCATGAATGGGATGTTTCTTTGCCACTGCATTCTATAATGGTGAGAGGTCAGAATTAGACTTTTATGAGTGGTAAGTTGTGCAGAGTGCAGTCTGTCAGAAGGGCCCAGTAACATGAGAGGTGCAGCTCTATTTTATGTCACTCTTACTTCTTCAACCCGCTGCTGTTTTCTCCAACCGGCCAAACCAGCGAACAGGGTGTCAGCGCTGACTACAGCAGCCCATCCCGCAGAGCCCCGGAAACAGAGCTGATTTCTGCACGGCCATCAGATTCAACTCATCGGAGGCGATCCGGGAAGTAAAGCGGGTAAAGATCGGCCGCTTCCGTCCTCATCAGCTCAGTCCGGTCACCTTATTCCCCCCGCGTGATTCCGGGGGCTGGAGGCGCATCTTTAGTCCCGATTCTCGATGTTTTCCTTGAGTTGACTTCCTCAGGTGAAGCTGTCCTGCTGCTGCTGTCCCGCCGGGAGATGCAGCAGGAGGATGGTGCAGCCGGATGACCGATCAGCAGATAGGAGAGGCAGCGCTCTTAAAGAGCCCTCAGATCAAATGACATGAGGGACACTTTCAGAGACGGTAACACAAAACAGTCTGAGGCGTTTACTGGCCTCAGATCAGAGCCAGAGACACCTGGTGGGAGCTTAATGAGGTGTGGCTCACAGGTACACTGGGAAAAAAAAGCAAGTAGCATTTACTTAGAAAATACAACAGAGTAATAGGGCCAGGATAGAATTTTTTTTCTATTTCGAGAATAAAGTCTAAAAATTAATAGGAATAAAGTTGTAAAATTTTGAGAATAAAATCATAATATTACGATAATAAAGTCGTAAAATTACGATAATAAAGTCGTAATATTACGATAATAAAGTCGTAATATTACGATAATAAAGTCGTAATATTACGATAATAAAGTCGTAATATTACGAGAATAAAGTCGTAAAATTACGAGAATAAAGTCGTAAAATTACGAGAATAAAGTCGTAAAATTACGAGAATAAAGTCGTAAAATTACGAGAATAAAGTCGTAAAATTACGAGAATAAAGTCGTAAAATTACGAGAATAAAGTCGTAAAATTACGAGAATAAAGTTGTAAAATTACAAGAATAAAGTCGTAATATTACAAGAATAAAGTCCTAATATTACGAGAATAAAATTGTAAAATTACAAGAATAAAGCTGTAAAATAAGGAGAATAAAGTCTAAAAATTACGAGAATAAAATAGAACAAAGTTGTAAAATTACAACAACAAAGGCGCAAAATTATGAAAATAAAGTCGTAAAATTACCAGAATAAAGTCAAAATGAGAATTTCATAAAATTACGAGAATAAAGTCGTAACATTACGAGAAAAAGTCATAATATTACGAGAATAAAGTCGTAACATTAGGAGAAAAAGTCATAATATTACGAGAATAAAGTCGTAACATTAGGAGAATAAAACTGTAACATAACGAGAATAAAGTAATAAAATTACGAGATTAAACTAGAATAAAGTTGTAAAATTACAAGAAAAAAGGTGTCAAATTATGAAAATAAAGCCATAAAATTACCAGAATAAAGTCACAATGAGAATTTCATAAAATTACGAGAATAAAGTCGTAACATTACGAGAAAAAAGTCATAAAATTACGAGAATAAAGCTGTAAAATTAAGAGAATAAAGTTGAAATATTACGAGAAAAAAGTCACAATGAGAATAATCCTTAATTACAAGATATACATGGATTGCATGTGATTAATTTCCAATTATGTTTAATATACTCAGCTATATCTGTCAATAAATCCATATGAATCTAACCCATTGTATAGAGTACAGGTATGTCTTGAAGACATAAAAACCTGAATGACTTGGAACTTTTTGCTTCTGAATGAAGACAAAAAAGATCTCTTACAGACAGACATCTAACGATACCCATGAAAAGTTAATGTAAAGGGCAATTAAAAAAAGTACACATCACCTTTTGGGGTTAGGGTTATCAGTTATTTAACCTCTTCATAAAGCAAAACAACAAAAAATAGTTTTTGTCAAAGGATGCACAGTCACAGTCCTAAAACAGAACAAATAGTACTTTGTGTCTGTCTTTGCACTAGAATCGCTTTCTCAGGTCTCCCTGAGCTTCTTCAGCAGGACGATAAATCCTGAAACAGCACAAACCACTGGAGGGGAGAAGCAGTCTACATTACAGTGCTTTTCAACAATTCAAAGCATTTTGCTCAGTTTATATCAACTACATTTTTTTTATGGGAAGCAAAATATTGAAAAAAAAAAAGAAGAGTTAAATCAATTTGGTTTGGTGTCAAAAGAATTCTGAATCTACTTTTTCACATCAAAACATAACAGCTTCCTTATTTCGTCTTATTCCCCTGTTCCTACAACTAATCCTCTACTTATAACTTCCAGGTACGTCGTTAAACCACAAATCCCTGGTTTAAATCTTTAGGGTTGGCAATGCTGCTCCCCTGGTGATCGATTCAAGGTGCTTAAACAGTTCACAGAATAATCACTGACTGGAATAGCTCTATTAGCACACATTTTGAATAACTTAATAATTTTAATTTAGTATTTTAGTATTGACGTAAGAGACGAAACCAAGTTCTCAGTCATCTTTACTACATTAGTTTTGTGCAGAGGTTTAAGAGAATCAGCATATACCTTCCTTTAGGTCGTCCCATATTTAGATTTAGTTAAAGCATCATCTATTTTTTGTTATTCAGGTTCAGATTGTTTGGAAACATCTTTTTAATTACTTAATTTAGGACATATTTTAGATATAGTAACCAAAGGATTATCTTCTGCAAATCCTGAAAGGTGCCCAGGTGCTGTGCCATAAAAACAGCCAAAACCACCAACCCTCCACCACCGTACCTTACAACCGTGGTGAAACATAACAGCTGCCCCTATTTTGGTTTCATTGATTAAAAGATATCACATAGAATGTAGTATTGCACTAAGTTTAGCTGGACATCTGAAGATAGACTTGCTTTTTAGGACCTCATTATTTCTGATGAAGCTTCAGAATATTTGAACTTGCTTTTTGTTATATTTAAATATTGAACTTTATCCTGTGTCTGATTTTACTTTCACCGTGTCCTACAAAGGCATTCAGACACGTTCAATAATTTTTTTAAATAGCTAGAAATCTCTCACTGCACACTAACCTGAAAACACGGTGTTCTCAGCGACCAATGGTGATGGCAGCATCATACTGTAGGAGATGCTTTCCCATGACCCACACTGAAAAATATTATCCAACCAAGTCTAACAATCTTAGATCCAATACCAAGATTTTAAGATGCAATCATCCTGCTGTACTGACAGATTATTGCAGAGGTCTTCAACAGGGGGTTTGCGACTCCTAGGGGGTCCACAGAGGTACTGCATGGCGATGGTGAAAGTTTTGGTTGATTACTTTTTTTTTATATTCCCCCCTGCAATTTTTACCACTAATTGAAATGTCTTTAAATCCACATTAACATGAATTCAACAGACTGTAGTAAACAGATAAATGGAGGCAGAAGATGTCTATCAGTCATCAATGCACACATTCAGAGACACACAGGAGCTCTTTCAAGCTGGGCACCGTTTCATTCACAACACCTGTCCCATCAACCAGGAATCAGAATCAGAAATACTGTAATAATCCCACCCTGCGAAAACAATCTAGAAATGAGAAAAATTGTCTTAAATTATTATTATGATTTGCCAATGGAATGAGTATTTTTACTCTTAAAATAATAATTTTTTCTTACTTTAAATGTACATTTTCTTGTTCCATTGGCAAAGTGCCTGACTTACCTCCTCAATTCAAGAAAATAAAATGCACGTTTTAAGAAAAAATTACTTAAGTTTTTTATAGTGGCAGGGAAAAATTACTTTCGTTACATGACTCCATCTGTAATAGAGTGACTATAGGACCAGTTTGATATAACACAATTTCATAAAATATATATAATTAGGGGGTCCGCACATAATCTTGCTATCACTTTGGGGGTCCTTGGCCTGGAAAACTTTGAAGACCCCTGGATTATTGGACTTATTTTGAGTAGAATCTTCTCCAAAGTAGATTAATATTTAATAGAATTTGCTCCTAGTTAGCAAATAAATCTTAAAACAAGATCAAATGTTTTGTCTTGATATAAGGGTGTAAAATTTGGTTAGATGGACAGTTTTTGTAGTTAGGCAGGGAAGCTGGTCGTATTTGATCAGATCTTGAGAACTGATCAATTATTCCTCCAATAATGGAACTATAGAGGAACTTAACAAATACCATTAAATGAGTTTGAAGCCAAGCTGACAGACTGCAAGGAATGCATTAAAGTTTTTTAAGTCTCCAAAAGTCGATCATAGCCATATGAATAATAAACTATGTAATAAAATATTACTTGTTTTCTATTTCTATTCCCAGTCCTTCACCAGACCCCCGTGCAAGCCATTTCATGCAGTATCTGTATCACTGCACTCGATGCAGTTCTTAGTAAGACAATTAAGGCAATACATTTATCAGGATATTGGGAGACTTCAGCTCAGAGAGCCGACATCATAGGGATTCCTTAGACATGTATGAAAGTTAATACCACCATGGCTATAATTCTGGGGGATGAGTAGCATGCTAACATAGTTCAAAGCAAAGAAGCAGCCAAGAACTCTGGGGCAACTACAGTGATTCATAGCCCCGTTAAAAGAACAAGTGAACCCATAGTTGTGTTAATCACCAGCAAGGCCTTTATCGAACGTTTGGAAAGATTTTGCAGTTTTCCTGCAAACATGAATTGGCCTAGTCAAAATCAGGACCTACAACCAGGAATTTGTGTCATAATCATATTTCTATGGTTTTCCAGAAAGAACATCTCTAATTTTAAGTTGGATATTTTGTCTCTTAAGTTAAGCCACCTGATTTAATGTTATAGTTATATTGCAAAGTCAATATTTGCCTAGAAGATGAACTTTATCCCCCAAAACACATTTCGTCATTGCAGCCCTGCCTTAAAAGGACCAGCTAACATCGTTTCAGTGATTGCTCCATTAACACAGGTGTATATGATTGCAATTGTATTTCTGTATGTGATGACATCTGACATACACACATGAAAACCACAGGGCAGCAGATCATGTGAAAATATATTTGTGTCATTCTCAATACTTTTGGCTATGACTGTAGATGCCCACATTCAATGACTTAGACAGAACTAATTGGGATTTGGAATATGGAGACAGATTAATTAACAAACCCAAGTATTTTCACAATATGCTGCCATTTGTGGCTGTAGTAGCTCAACAGGATCCTCCTGATACAAGGTTTTGCAGCTAGACACCTACTTTTTTCTTTGTCATGATTGTAAAAACTGAAACATGCAGGAAAAAATTTCAATTTCTAAATCAAAGTCCAGACCTGCAACCAATTAAGAATTTGTGTCAAGTCTTATAAAAACGGTTTGCAGATATTGTCCAATTTAGACTGTGCTTTAAGGATTTTTTAAAAATGGAAAACATTCTGGTAGGCATATAAAAATAGGTAGGCAATATAAATAACATTAAAAATGAAATACATTTAGTGATTTCATTGTTTATTATAAACTGAAGATATGTTTAAATTTATTTCTAAAGGACAATTAATTCGTTAAATTTGATGGGACATTTAATTTTT